GCGAGCTATCTTTTTCAGACGATCCATAAACCCGGGGCAACACGTGGCGAGCACGGGATCGACATCGCACGAACGACCCCTTTTTCCGAGGGTAAGACGTCTAGAAGAAAGTCCGTCTCTGAATCGTCTCGAGAAAAGTAAAGAGGCAGACGGAGAGTGAGGTTGTACAGAAGCTAGGAAGAAACTTTTGTACGATCAGCATGAAAAGCGTGACGGGAGAGGAGGAAAGGGCGAAGCTGAGCCGAGGTAAGAATGCGGGAGAGAGAGCAGTGAGTAGGGCACGGATGGTGAACAGCTGCCAGGGCCTATGGTGGCCGTTTTGTGTGAAACGTGCCCCCATAACCCCCATACTCCCCCTTTTCACGAGTCCCTCTCGTGCTTTATCTTGCCCTTTCCGTCCCTCCCTCTCTCTCTCTCTCTCTCTCTCTCTCGCTACGACTGGAAAGCCCTTCGAGCGCATATACAGTCATCCATCTATCCCTGACGACTCCCCGCTTGCGAGGAATAAAGCCGCGCTCGCGACCTACGACGTGCGAGTCTGCGTGCCGTTCTAATCTACGCGGCCGATCGAGCTGAAAATCTCCCCGGAGAATATTTCCCTCTGGATAGAAGAACGAAATCGAACGTTCCTTACAGAACCTGAGGTAGAATCGTCGTCACAAAAATATTGTTGACGAGCAGAGAATCGCGTATTGTTCCGCTCGAAGAAAAGTTTCTAAAAACTGTGCAACTCCGATGACAATGGACCATGGTCTACGCGCGACTGTTTGTAATAACGGTCCGAAACGAGGAAGTTTCTAGTTACTGTCCAAATGTATGTTGCTCGTTCGAAAACCGGAGCGACGATAACTGTATCGTTCCGTGTCCTAACGGTAAATCAACGCGCTCCTCTTCAACCCTCTTTTCCATTAAGTCTCCGTCGTAATCGCTCGAAACTGCCGAACGGCAAGGACGATGGAAGGACTCGTAAACGAGTAGTTGTCGCGTCGTCGACTGAATGAAACGTAGTCTTCGGAGAAATTGATCCACTTCTACCGATTTAGAAGTTTACACAATTTTACGTACTCCTTCGGTGGACAAGAAAATGAAGTGGACGAAACGATTTCTAAACAACATGATTCTTCGACGTCCCAGGCCTTGAAACGTTAAAGATAAAGAATCGTGCAACGAGGTTTTTCGCTGACGCAATAAATTATAACGCGATATCTCCGGGCATGCAAAATGTCGGCGAACACGTCGGAGGCACGCAAGAGGAAACATCGGAGCGCGTCGTTTTGTTCGGCAACGGTAACATTGTTGTAACACGAGAAGATATTGTCCACTTGACAACGGAGCCCACGGCATGGAAGAGAATCACTCCCGGTGCACGTGATGACCGACCGATACACACCGGGGCCTTTCACAAAATCGTCCTCGTCACCTTTACGCAGTTTATGCACGCGGAGAAAAAGATCTATCAGCCCTCGTCTCAAGCAAATTTATCGTACATCGAGAAAATCTGTAAAATATAATAATTTCGTGTAACCGAATGTTCGCACATTTAAACGTGTTTCGACGAAAACCGAAGAGTTTTTTTCGCGAACGACGCGATTATAATGATCCGAGCGAAACGGGAATGGAATAAAAGAGAAGTCGAATAGCACCGAGAAATAGGTAGAACCGCTGCCGATTGTTTCGTGGACCTGGTGCGCACGGCTGAACCTCTCTGTTTCCTTTTTTTCCCCTTCGCCTGAAATTCCGACTCGAATCTAAAATGATCGAAACGTTTCGTAACGTTCGCCAGGTAGGCAACCGTGGAAGAGGAAGAAGACGAGGAAGAAACAAAAGAAATGGAGAAAAAGAAGCTGGGGCTGAGAGGAAGAGGTTTCGGGGAGAGGCTAAGAGAAGGAGAAAGAATGGGCGAAGGGAGAAAAGGCGGACCTCGGAGCTCCTTGTCTCCGACGTTTAATTTCAGGCAGTCCAAGCAGCTCGTAACATCTCCGCCGTGTTTAACATCGAAAGAGGTGGGCCTTGGGAAGAAAATGCCCGCGATCAGACCCAGAACCAGTTCTCGCGCCTTAAACGAGCGGTTCTCACGCGTTTATAGCCCTTCATCACGCTTTCCATTCGACCTAATTGCCGCGGTCGTACCTCGTCAGAGAACCACTGCATCGTACGCGCCGTTTTAAAGAAACTTTAACCGCGACCGTGATACGAGACACTAATTTTGTGAAACGTCGTTATTCTCTCGATTGACCATCGCATCCTTAATCGAATGCTAGAACGACAACAGGAAACGTTATTTAACAAAAAAAAAGAAAAAGATAATCGATCACCGGCAACCACTAGACCGCGTGATAAAGGTGAAACAAAAGAAATCAGAATTGAATAGTGTTTATCGTGTAACAATGGTTGAGAATTACTGTTCGAGATACGATCGTTCCGTGATCAATAATACGGCCGTATACAGTCGGTATTAAAAGCGAAGGCGACTCGGTTAACCCGAACGTTAATGAGTCATTCGAAAGTTGCGTTTGACACGATACTTAATTACACGGCGTTATCTTCTAACGAAAATCAGTGTAGAACAAATTGCGCCGTTCGACCAAAAGAAGCGATCTTCCACTTGTTTTACGTCGTTCGGACGACTTAGCTACGCAGTTGTTTGCATCAGCTGTGAGTGAAACACGCCAGGGGGTTTACGCTAGCGGAACAAAGAAAGTCAATGCCGTGACGTTTCCACGAGGTTTTTTACGATTTACTCTAGATACCGTTACGCGAGATTTCGCCTGGATCGCGGTGAACTATTAAAAAGAAGCGACGAACCGTGTCGAAAGGAGGTCGATAACCGAGGTTCGATACGAACAGAATCCCGATGAAGATGTAGAAACTCTAGCAAGAATCGTAAGAATCGACGCGATCTCGTTCCGCGTAAAGCCATAATCCTCGGACCTCGTAAACTAACGAGAAAATCCTTTCTCGGCCGGAATACTACATTTTATTTCGTTCCCTGTACCGAGTTTCTCTAATAATCCATTTAGCTAAGACTAGACACCTGCTCTTTCTCTTTAGAAAATTAGCACCCATGTACAGGTGGTACTCGTGCATCTCGACGCAGTTGTACATTGGTCATATATACCGTGTAACTGATTTATCCATTCTGGTTAGTAATAAATAAATAAATCGTTAGAAAATACTGAGCTAAATTATTTTCCTGTTCCGCAGCGGAACGAAGAATTCAATAGAATACTATCGTAATTAATTTCTTACGTATATTGGGAAAGGAATCCAACTTGGCGACACGAGTCTCGAACACGGTACAAGACGAGAGGATACTACTCGAATAGGAACCGGAACTCGCGGTCCGTGCACAGAATTGACTACACGATTGCATATGTCTACGTCGTGCATATGAATCAGATAAAAGACGACCGGAGGGGTTCCCGTAGGGGCGCGGACGCACGGGGAAAGGTTATCGGCTTCGTCATTGATTTCTACGTCGCACGAAAATAAATCTCGGTATCCGAGGGGGAAGGAGAGAATGTACACGCATACGAACATGAAACCGCAGGGATCGAATCAGGAATCGTACAACAAGAACATCATATATGTTGTCGAAGATGATTCTGATCCGACGCGAAGGATTATTCCTTTGACGTCTATGCCAACTCGGGCATACAGCGTACGTATAGGATAATTCAAATATCAAGATAGAAAATCATATAAACGCTCATGCTTCGATGATTAATACGCGAGAGAAATGGCATTTTCTGTCCGCGACAGTTTTACGACTCTCTTCGACCAAGCTCACCTTGGATCGAGCGTCGCATATTGTAACAAGAATGCGAAATAAAAATACATGCTCGAGACACAATAAATAACACGCGAGTTCATTCCTACGACGCTATGTCGTGCTCTTGAGAATCTTTCGTACAGACGCGATCGATTGTTTCTCCGCGAAATTACCATAAAAAAAAAAGAGAGCAACGACGCTAGCAGTCGTAACCGTAACATCGTTCAGGATCTGTTGGACATCGGTTCCGAGAAATTGATTGCATATCGGACGTATACATGGAATTACTAATGAAAAAACTTGGTAACTTGACGCCGTGTGTCAACAACGAGAAAAAATGATTTCAAACCGCATTCGAATCGAATGCGCGAAATACGTCGAAATATTGTTAGTGATGATGGTCGAGTTTTTAAAATCGACGAATGATTTGTACATCGGAAAAACGCGACACTCCACGTGCTGCGAAATATGTATGTAGCTACTATACACTACGTTCTCCGAGCAACCGGCGTCACCCGGCGACAAGCCGTTACCAAACTTTCGAAGTATGAACAATTGACCATGAAAAATTGCTCGATCGGCAGATCGAGAAGCGTTTGAAAACAATGGAGGTGCTTTCGCTTAACTTACTTAGTTGATCGACGAAATATCCTGGAGAAATGGGTTCCAAGCACTTGCAACAACACTTCACTCGAGTACGCCGGCCACTACGCTTCTTCTGGCTTGAAACTCGCTGCTCTCGAGAGAAACTGTATCGCCATCTTGCAAGCCAGGACGCCAACTAGCTCGTCGACAAAGCCCGTTCACAATGACTCCGACCGAAATGTATTTGAATTCTTATTCACATGAAACAGAAAGATGATTAAATGATTAACGAATGGAACGAGATTAAATATATAATTAAAGCACGAATGATCAGTAGAATTATATCGATGAAACTCGGAAATATGCGTAACGTAACCTGTTATGTTATGACGACTTACGCGTCGCGATTCAAGATGCAGCAAATTTGTATTACCGATTATTCCCTCGACTCAAGCCATTTTTAGTACTGTTCTTTACTTGCAAATTTTAACAAATAAAATGTTTTATAACGTACCACAAGCTACGTGCACAAAGGTTGAGGTATATTAAACGTCGTGGTAAAAATATTTGGTTGTCATAGAAAACAAAAGAAGAACGAGGATTGGAACTGCACAGTTCTTTATTGTTCCAACTATAATATGAATTATACCATGAAAACTACGTCCATATTTTTCTGCCCGTGTCCGAAATAAAGAAACCCGTAATGGGGAGTGTTTAACTTATGATAAAACGTCATACCCGGCCAACAGAGACTGTGCAACAACACTAAACGTTTCCCTAGTAAGAATTGCAGATCCCAGCATCCTGAAAAGTAATGATGTATCACGAAATAAAGGAACCAATTCCCGGTTCCATACCTTGCGGCACATCTAAATCGATCGAGTCTAAGAAATCTATCGCGTAATTGTAATCAGGTCTCGTCAGTAGATTAGTATTCCACTTCTGCTGCGGTAAACGCGCGTGTAAATACGATTTTAAGTACGAGGCATCCGCGGTATCGAGTCCTTCGAAACTGAAATTCTCAACGACGTCCCCGTTGGGACACTTGAACCACGCACCACGAGGGATCACGACAGCATCGTCTCGAATTATTTCTATCGTAGCCGCGAGCCTGTCCTCCTCTTTTAATTCTCGCGGTATGGGGCCCTACGTGTTCTCACTTAATCAGTTGTTCAACGATCTGATCCTGACTAACTGGATTAAACTTACGTCGTAATATTTCTTGGGGTCTTCGTTTGGAGGGAACGGAGGATTAACGTTATAAACGTTAGTCACGATAGAGGGATCACCCTCGAACTTATTAATCGCGAGAGGCGTTAAAAATCGCGCACACTTACTCGCCTGCGGTAGCAGAAGCCAATTAAAACCATCCGTGCTGATTAAATATAATAAAGATCTATTAACACTACTCTTTGATCAACGGTTAACCCCCTTAGATTTACCTGTAGTGATACACTTGATCGTTCATGCAGTCTTTCTCGAAACCAAACGCGATGTGATAATCGTTTCGAACCCCATAGATCTTGCCCCAGTAATAACACTTTCGAAAGTGATTCTCTTGTTGCAGTATTATCAGAGAATTTTGCAGTAACTGAGAATTTTCAGTACCAACACAAATGCCAGCGTAACCAAACAGGTCTATGCTCTCCAGAAGTTTTACGCATTCCATTCTCTATCTTTTACGTTCAATATAATCTTAATAAAACATTTCGAAAACTTTCTCGAATAAAGTCCGTTAAATGAATTCCGTTGATACGAAACGAGTGTCCTCATCCTCTGGCAGATGGCGCAGCGATAGGGTCGGTCATGTGACCGCGTATCCCCTCTCACTAGTCCGCTAGTCCGCCATTTTCATTTGATTATCGTGCACATGCGTCGTTTGCTCTTTCCGTGTCTTGATATACCGGCAAATAATTTCATAAATTTTAAGCAATCACAAGTTTGTCTTGCCTGTTTTCACATTCGTGCCTGATGGTATCTTTATATACAAGAAAGTAAGTATGTTGTTAGAGTTGTAGTGTGTTGTAGTTGTAGAGTACTACGATGTGCTCATCAATGGATGGATACGTGCGAGAAATAAATAAAAAGATCATGTTTGTGTTTAGTTGACGATTACGCGATTTCCTTTCGTTTCTTTACTCGGTTTTACATGAATATGTCATCGTCCGACGAAGAGAGTGATCAGCTGATGGATCTGGAAGCGATCCGCGATCAAATGTTGACTCAGAAGAGTGAACGTATGCAAGTCAGTGCCTGGGAAGATGACGACGATGGAGTGGAAGCCGATCGCAATGCAAAAGGTGAGCAAATGATTTTGAACATTTTAATGCATTTGCACAAAGATGAGATAAAAAAAATGTTTGCATAGAGGAATGGTTCACGTCATTGACACATTTATTTTTGCAGAGCCTGATGAGAAGAAGATTCTCAGTGCTGCAGAAGATGGGAATTTAGAAAAATTGAAGAAACTGTTAATGAAGAATCCGTCTCTGGTAGAGTGTACAGACAAAGATGGTTATACTCCTCTGCACAGAGCATGTTATGGAAATCATGTGCAGATAGTGGAGGTAAGCATATTGTGTTCAGCATTATATATTTTATACTTCTGTACAACCTCCTTATCTGTTTTGTTTATAGTTTTTGCTTCAGGCAGGAGCCAATATAGACTCTAAAACTATGGATGAATGGCAACCTTTGCATTCTGCGTGCTGCTGGAACAATGTCGAATGTGCAGCTATTTTAATTCGACACGGGGCAGATGTGAATGCTAGGAGTAAAGGAGATCAGACACCTTTACATCTAGCGTCTGCCAGCTCACACAATTCTCCTTGCTTGCAACTTTTCTTGCTACATCCAGACACCAATCACACGTTGGTAAATTCAAGCGGGGACACGGCAGAACAAATCGCAAGGAGAACTGGAAAGTATTACCCACTGTTCGAAATCACCGAGGACTGCTTGAACGTCATTTAAGGTAAGTCATTCTTCGGGTTTACTATATTTATCGGACGAGTTTATGATACACACATTAGAACGTTCGAAACATATAAAGGTTGATAAAGATCGTATCGTCAATATTCTATTTATATAAATACATGTGTAACGGTAGTTTACTCCAGCTGAGTATAAAAATATGCGCACGTATGTTACGAGAGACGTGTTAATGCAGTTATTATTTTAATGAAATAATTATTATTGTAATGAAGATTCCTTATCGATCCCTAGTCCTAATAATTAAGAAAGTTACTAATTTAAGAGTATTAAGAGCATGATTATATAAAATTATTGCGATTGAGACGATAGTGTCATATTCGTATAAAATATTCGTTTTTTTTTTTACTTTTTATAACATGCGTATCCAGAAAACACGTTTAACAATGTTCAAAGTAACACGGTGTCGAAAATTCCTATTTACATTAGAGCGACGTCAAGTTAACGAATTTCGGTGTGCCGTTGCTCAAACGTTTCGACCCCTCCCATATGAGAACCGTAAAGTCCTCGGATACGGCATAGAAATGATGTTGATCCATCGCCCACGCCATCGCAATTACTGCCCCACACTCTTTAACGCTGTTAACTATTTCTCGAACTAATCTCAAGTCCCAGCTACTCCACAGTCTTATTACCCCATTGTCTAATCCGGTCGCGATCACATTCACGGAAGCCCCTTCTGGCGCATTGCTGTAGCACAGGGCCGTTATTCGCCTCCTCGATAAAACTGATCCGACCGGTCTCGCATTTATAGTAAATACTTTTAACTGTGAATGACTGGAAGACGCGTCTTCATTCGGCTTAGAAGTATCATAGGTAACCGCTATGTCCCCTAGAGTCTCGCTGATCGATAATAAACGAACAGGATGATTCTCATCGCAGATTATCGATCTCACGTACGTTAAACTGCAAGGAAATTTCTCGATGTTACACGACCGCTCGTAGCTTCTTATTCGCAAGAATGCTTACCTATTCAAATCCCAGATAACGATAACGCCATCGGTATCGCCGGTAACGGCTATACTGAACGTTCGCGAGAGAGATATCGTCGTTACTCTACTCCTGTGAGCCAACAGCACAGATGCTGGTGTTGAACCGAACTCTATCTTGCTTGCCACGACCGTATACGTGTGCACTGTTATTCTACCAGATAAGTGGCCTATCCACAGCTGCCCGCAATCTGGTGCTGAGCCCAAGATAGTGATCTAAAGAGAAAATAGAATATATTCCACGATTCTTTAGACAAAAAAGGAAAATAGTAATTCATTGCTCACTGGATCGAGACCCGACGACTTAATTAACGGTCTAGGTGGCTGTTCCTTTTTGCATTTCAATCTCGCGATCCCATCCGTGCCGCTCCATGATACCAAAGCGGCTCCCAAAACAGACGCCGTGCTCAACATACTCGCACCTGAATGCATAATTTAGTAATCAACTGGACCTCGTAAAATATTCGCTGGCGATTTATACCTTTCTCTTTCGTGTATCCGAGTAATAAAGTAGTATAACTAGGTAATCCGAAAACGTCTCCGGTCATTAAAGGAACTAAGGACGCTAGCGGCGCTCTGTGCTTATGCTTCCAACACAGAACCGGTTCGTTCCCCGGTGCACCGACGTAGTTTCCCCATTTTATACCGTCTACACCTTCGATAACTTGAGGCAGCAAACTATGTTGGACTGTGCTCCCGATATTTTGCATCGGGTGCGCGACTCTGAACAGTTGAGCCGGCGTTTGTCCGTAAGTTCGTACCATAGTTTCCCAAGCTTGACGTTCCAAGGGATCGGCTATCTGGTCAACGTTGAAGCCGTAATAAGTCGCCGGATGGAAAACGTTTATAGCTTCCACTGCCGGTCTGCCCGTTTGTCTGAATCCGAAGACCAGATCGATCCAATAGGGTAGAACCTCCCTGACGAGATCTGCCTCTAACGCTGCCCTGTGAGCTAGAATGAAGAGTCGCGCATCGCCCCCGCACCATTTCGGCAGCTCTACGTCCCCTACTCGATTGCCGTTCTGCCGAACTCCGAAATTGAACCCTTCGGAATTCAGTAAGAACTCGGGTAGATAGAAAAACTCAGGGATCAATTCTTTCACGTCTGTCGTCGAGTCGCAGCTTGTTAATCGCCATGTAGTGGCCAGAGCGTGAAACGTTCGATCGGGAATGTCGAAATTATCGTCTTGATAACAGAGGAACATGCTGGTGAACGGTGGCAATCGTACCAAGAAATGGAGCACTGTGCCGGAATTACTATAATGCGATCCGTAATGGAACGGTTCTTGATTTAACGCGATCAGGTTCAGTCCTTCCGACAGAGCTTGCTTCAGATAATTGTAATTGTTTATATAATGTTGCTCGTTCTTCTTGTCCTGCACAGCCATGGGACGTTTGAAATTCCGATAGATCTTCGAATCGTTCAAATCGATCTTTTCACTCGTATAATTTGCCAGCACGAACGGGAACACGGGGTATTGCATTAAATCGTTGTACGAACGTCCAGCTAGTTTGTTTAAACACGTGATGTATTCCCAATTTGTTAACGCTCCGCTCCGCCACAGTGAGATAGCTTCGCTTAAATCGTCCCCAGGCACTCGTCTCGGTAAATTGCAAGCGGACAACTCCGTCACGAACTCGTCTCTCTCCTTCGAAGAATTGAATGCCAATAAATAAGTCCTTCCAGTGATTAGAAATATTTCGATGGCCCTCTCTTGCAACTGATATCTCCTCCTGTGTATCTCTCGAATATCGTCGAGTCGCCACGCCGTTCCACCGACCATGGCCAAGTCCAAGCCACCCAAAGCTATGTCCGTTTGCAGCTGTGCATCGGGTTTGTCAGGAACGAAGTACAGGCAAGTCTCACCGATGAGAACCTCACCCGCCAGCTCAGCTCTGGGTGTGACTACCTTGGCTTGAGACATTTTGCGTATCCTCTCGCTAGTATGCAATCGTTCGATCAAAGCCGTAGCGTTTGCATCTTGTCGATCAGTCTTGAATAAATAAGATAAAGGAGCATCGACTTTCACTGCCTCCAGTTTGTCTTGATGCTCGGCCATGAAGAATCTCTTGTCGATGTTCAAGTGGCACCGCTGCAGACGTATCCTGACTCTGGCGGGGCCTTCGGTCGGGTCCAGTTCCCAGCTTCTCGGATAACTGTCCGGGAAATGCCAGGGTGCCCTTTCGTGCGTCAGGCGCTTCGCCAAGTCTCTCCATTTTGCGATCGCTTGAGCTTCCATCGCTCTCGAGTATTTCAGTCTTTCCATTAATACTTTACGTTCTCGATTTTGTTCTTCTACGACCGTACGCGTTATAGTCATCGCGCTCTCCGTCAATTGTTTGGCAAGCACGTCGAATCTGCTGGCGATCCTTTGAATCGCCGGGAGATTATTATCGATCCATATGTCCCGATCCCTCATCAGTTCTCGCCTCAACAGTACCAATTCCTCGTTCCATACTCCAGGACTAGCTTGTTCTATCCCCTTCGCTAGATCCCAGATGCTCAGGGCCTCTTTCAATTCCGCGCATATCCTCGCGTCGGCGCAAGGCATCTCATCTCGCCTCTGCAGTAGATCCCAAAAGAACACGGTGAACTTCTGTTCGATCTGCGGATGAACTTCCAACAGGGAGGACAGGATTTCACGAGCTTTCGGCTCTTCCATCAACGATCTGACCGCAAATATCCTCGTGTTGTTGCTCTGGTGCGGGCCGAGTAACCACACCATTATCTTCGCCGCATATTTCCTTAAAGCGTGTCTGGTCGACCATCCGCTGCTCCAGTGATTCCTCTTTTCCAGTGGATTGCAAAGACCGTGCAGAAGAATCGAGAACAATCTCCTAGTCAATTGTAATTCGTTGCCCGAGGGTGATTCATCGGCCGCTGTTATAAATTCCACGGCGCGCGTCAGTATAACGCGGAAGCGATCGAGCAACTCTCCTTTCCCTGGCTCGCGTAACGTTCCCACGGAAGGCGTGTGCAAACTCGCGTAACTCGACGACGGCGATCCGTGATCACTCTGATCGCTCGACGTCGTGAAGATCGAAGTTATGTGAGAGGCAGAGGCCAAATACGATGCCGTGCTACGTAGTCGGAAACCTGACTGATTTGACACTTTCGCCGTGAGTACATCGAGTTCTCCGTCGAAAAGTGCCACTTGCGCGTCTCTCACGACCGTTATACAAGTCCTGTTCTTGACGCAGTGAGATCTCTCTCTCAATTCCACGTGATTCAATGTCACATGCACATCTAGAATCACTTGCATTTGATGACTTCCCGGAGATTCCAATAGTTTCGCGACAATCGCTACGAGAAGCACGTGAATGTCTCGGAAAAGGGACGTGGAGCCGCCCTTATGGGCACCACCCACGAGCGCTTGCGCCAATGACTCTACCAAACCTTGTTCTAAAAGCATTCTTAGAGCACTGGGATTCTGAAACAAAGTCTCGTTAGTTAATTCGATGGAAATCTGGGTCGTGATAGTTACCTTTGCAACTATGTCGGTAATGAACGATACAATTGGCCTGACCACGTTGGGTTCGGTGACCGCCGTTTTCGCGATCATAGCCATCAGCGGAGGCATCGCGGCTAGAGTCGGTCCCCGTAAAGCTAAATTTTCTAGAGCAATCACCAGTTGTTCGCTACCGGGATACAATGCTATTTGATTCCCCAAGTGCATGAAATATTTCTGTTTTATAAACTTGTTCACTTCTTCGTCGCTGGCGCGTTGTAGATACGTCTGAACGACTTTAATTAATGCCGTTCGGACTCTGGTATCGGGATTATTGGCTAATACGAGCAGAAGCTCAGCTCGCAAGACGTGTTTGAGTACCGAACCAACTTGGCTGTCGGGCAGAACTCTAACCGCGTCTCGAATCAGTAACAATAAACCCTCGCAAACTAAACCCTGGCAGGCTCTTCGTTCGTCCGTCCATGTAGATTGCCTTTCGTTTGACAAAGGGTTCGATCCATCACTAGCCGCGATTCCCGAATCTTCTCCAGCACTGGTATCTTGCGGAGGTCCGTTCCGACGTTCTTTTCTCTTAGGAATCCTATTCTTTTGAATCTGCGCGTTCGTTAGACTCTTATTCATTTTACTATTTTCAAACATTCCAATGAACTCGTCCGAGGAACTGGAAGTTACCGTGGGGCTGACCCTTACAACCCTCTTCTCTCCGATAGGAGGTAACAGGAGATATATATTGTGTCTCGAGTGTGTGATGTAAGTCTCGGATGCTTGATGAACCAGAACCAAGTAATCGGTAATGGCGACTAGGTGAGCGAATTCCGGGGGTGCTCCCATGAGCGCACGTATCAATTCGACTACCGCAGTTCCCGTTGCCGAATCGAGCACGGCGCCCAATTCTTCGTACATGAAATGCTCCTGTATCAGGACATCAAATATATTACACTTATTACAAATAGGCTCGTGGGATTTACCTTGCATAATGTTAAAACCATATCGACGATTCCGACTCTGTTCAATTGAGACGCGTTGAACTCGCGTTGCGAGTGCTGATCCCTTAACAATAACAGCAACGCTTGCAACAGTAGATTCAACGTTTCATGTTTCGCCCACGTTCTCCATGCGGTCAGCGCGCCTTTGATCAATTCGGGATCCGTGATAACAGCCTCGCAATTTTGCGAGATTGAATGATTGCCGGTGCTGATATCTTTCAATAGGATCGAACTGTCGCAAGCCGCGTCTAACATTGCTTTCAGAATGTGTTTGCCCGCGTGGCACCGTGGCGATTCCAAAATCCGTAACAGTAAAGACGTTCCACCCTCTGAACGATACTGATTCAATAGCTCGGAATCGTTTCGTATCAAATGCAGAACAATCGAGAGAGCTACAGCTTGTTCTTCTTCAGTCGAGTTCAGTTCGACTACCTGTATGCGATAAATTCGTTTAACAGGAACTACATACATTTAACGTTTGTAATTAAAATTGCCATGCTCACTCGTGCGAATAGGTATAAAAATATAGGTACACCGCCGACTAAGGTGGCGGCGGGTACCAGGCCCCTGTATTGTTGACATTCCAACCGAGCGGAGAGTATCGGAGCCACAGACAAGGGCGGTTGCTGCGAGACTCTATTTTCCGGTGCAGAGACAACCCTGAACCCTGGTTGACCCGGGAACAGATTTCTCACCACTGTTAAAGAAGCAATTATACGATATCCGTACGTTCATTTATAAGAAAAATTAAACAGAGGAATCTGTATCGATGACAATCGTTACCAGCAGGATTCGCGATAGCTTGTGGATACAAGTGAACAATGTTAGGATTTTGAGCCTCGTAATTAAGGAGCAGATTATCTTGCAGTTCGCCTAGATGCGAATTCGTAGCATCCATTACTGAATCCCAATCGATTTTCGCCTCGGACACTTTCGTTTCCACGGCGTGTCTCAAGTACGTTCCGCCGTACGACTTCCTCCGGCTCGTATCAAATTTTCCTCCTTCTACATTAATTGTTACGTGAACATCGGCAGGTGTTCTATGAATAGCAAATCGTGATACTTACCGAATCGAATTTCTCGAACGCCGTCCAGTGCTCCAGACGCGATCAGCGGCGCGAAATCCGGCTTCTCCGTGTTTAAAATACATTCCGCTAGATTAGTGTAATTAGGTCCGAGACTCGCCAGATACAATGCCTTCTCTTTCGTGAATACCGGACACCTGTTCATTAATAAACTCGATAGACGTAATCCTCCAATGATCGATTAACGTCTTGTAATATAAATGACACACCTGAACACAGTTAAATTGCCGAGGTACCAGGCACCGCTTGCACTGGATCCCACTTGTCCCAGTAACACGCACGTGGTCCCAGGCTTTCTCACTAACAAGCCATCGAACGGTAATTGCGCGTTGATTTCCCTCCAACCGTCTACCCAGAGCACAACCTCGACCACGGCACTGCGCTTGTTTAAAACGGTATCTTTGAAATTCAATGCTAAATGATGCCACCGACCGGAAGGAAGCATACCAGTCACGGACGTCTCCGAGATAGTTCGATTCGTTTTATCGTCCGGCCTAGTCAATCTTAAAATCAATTTATCTGAAAAATAAACAATTGTCCATATATTCAAGAACTGTTCAAGAACTAACAAGAAAGAATGAAAATATTTAATTACCTGATCGAAGATCCAGCCACGTTTCAAGCACCAACGACTCAAATCCAATAGACATTAAATGAATAATTGACGCTGGCGTAGGCGGAGATGTCGAACCAGCTACGACTGACGTACCCAAGAAAAGATCAGACACCGATTGGTCTTTCCACGATAATTTGTAGAGCATGCGTTAGATAAAAAACGATCAACTTATTTCTACACACTGACACAATTGCACGATAAGCATGAAGACGTTACGAGGAGACGTTGAAACGACCATGCATGCATGTTAGCTTATTGCCAAGTATTATTACACCAACCTTCGCGACTCCAGTTATCGGATAGAATTCCCCAGTCCGATAAGCTTTCATTGTCCGAATCAAGTAACGGCGACGTGCTCATCATTGTTCCTTTGCCACTGACAGGCAAGCCTCTCTCGACTCTCAACCACATGGAAACGGAGCATCCGTGAAGCCAGACCGGCCAAGCCAGCTCTGGTCCAATCGGTAGACACGTCGCGTGAACGGACCATGGACTGCATATCCCCGATGCAAGATGCCGTTTCCGGAAATTATTCACAAGACTCTTAGCCTTCTCCGAGTTCTTATGCTCCTCCGACTGGATCGACGCTCTCACGTCTGAAGGGACGGGAAAGGAGACGATGAAGTTCGGCTGGGAGCGTGCTGCCAGGACCAGGTGAAACAATGGCTCCAACAATGGTAAAAGTGGAGGAGCGTTCACTTTGAATAAGGACAAGTATGTGACCAATTCGGACGGAGAAATAGACTGCGTTGCCAACAAGGTAAACACCTCCAGCACAGCGTGTTGCAAGTCTGGAATATTTTATTACACAATATCGTAAAAACTGAGAATAAAATAGAAATATGAATAGACGACTTGAACCTTGATACCTTGATATTGAACATCTCTGTTGGTAAATATATCACTGAAACCGTTCAACATCTTCGTGATTACGCCGGAGCCAGCGAGGGCGGCGCAACTCGAAGCACTTTCCCTACACGTGACAGCGACTCTCCTCAGACCTGCTGTAATAATAGCTCCCTTCTCCGTATCTAAACCTCTGTAGAAAAGAATGATGAACATTCGTAGACGCACACTTAATAATGTATTCAAGTACTCACTGTTCACTAAAATGAATTAACAAGTCAACCGCTAGCGAACACAATGCTGGATGCGCGTTCGCATGGCCTCTGGGCTCGACCACCGGCCCCAAGGAATTACTCCTTTTCACCGCGTTATTGTTAGGACTTCGCACTTCCACGTCAGCCTCGTAGCCATCATCAGCTGTCACGTATTCACCTGTGCTACTGTCGTCAGCCGCGCAATCTGGCATCGCGTCCAGTGCCATAGTTGGTAACTATAACGAAGAGCATGAAGGTCGACTCCCGACACCAAATGGTGAAACTTACCCTAGGTCGAGTGTACTGCGGTATAGTTTCCTCCTGAGCCGGTTTTATCATAGATACTTTCAATAGAACTTCCACGATGATTGCCAATCCGCGGCCCAGTCTGATCCCCGCGTCCATCAATGCTCTCCCCAATTCCATGATTATATCGCAGTCACCTGTACCGCGTACGCTCTTATATACATGAACCAAGTAAAGTGTGAATAGTATTCGTAGAAAATTCTAAGGGATCGCTGACTCAAAGGTGTTTACCGCCGTCGATCACTCTTTGAACTGTTTTCACGGCGAATAAATTCGTTTAGCTTATTGGGATTTTAATCCGCAGCTGCGCGCGGAAGTGTATGGGGAAAAAGTTACTCGTATGATTCACGTTCGTTATATAAAAGTACTTACACAACGGGGATGTCAAACAGCAAGTGAGCAGAGCCTCGAAGAGCCTGTGCGCTGATTTATTGGTATCTAAAGGAGGACGAGCGTGTGAATATAAATCCACATATTTATACGCGGCACTATTTTTAAATAACGTCTAATGCTTACCTGTAACTCGATCCGTGGCGATGCGTATGGCTAACGTTTTAAACAACTGCACAGATTTCCGCGATATGGGGTGGGCGCATAGTTCAGCTCGAAATTTCGGGCTGCAGAGCGCGACTCCGGCCGCGGCTCTCCACGCAGCACTAGCTTGATATAAATCCATTTTTTTATTCGCATCCACGTCGGTTTCAGATATGCTGATCTCGGAATCGTCGGGTACTTCTGGTAAACGAAAAGTCGTATCGACAGATTTCTCCGACTCGCTCTGCTCTTCCCGAGCATCGCTCGTTCCTTCGACAAGATCGATATGCAATCCGGAATCTTGTTCCTCATTCGTGGAAGTGTTCGCGAAGATAGTTAACAACTCAGTGGTTTCTTTCTCGAGGGAATTGAATAATGAGTTCAGTGCAGGTTTCTCGGTATCGTCAGATCCTGTGAAGCTCGTCTTCCAGATCTCGATGATAACAGTTACCTCCAACAGTGCGTAAACATTCCTGGTGAAAGTCGTGTCTAACAGTAAGGTCAGCACTTCTTCCAGCCCGCTGATCTCGGTGAATGCTTCGCATATCTGAGTGTTCACTATCAAGCAGGACATGGCTGAGAGGCATGACTGGATGAGAAACTTCACAGTCGTGTTACCCGTGTCAGTCGCGTAATACGTCTTAGCTTTTAAGAAGGTCGGATAGAACACCTTCAGTAGTAACTCCCGTCTGACGTGGAACTTGGAACAGGGTCCTATTTTCAAAAGATGTGCCATTATAACGTAGCATAGTTTCGGGTCGTCCGGCGTCAACAAGTCCGCGTACATTTCAAGGAACTCCCAAGAATACGTCGCAGATCTGTCGCACGTGTTGCATACTTCAGATTCCGAGTAAACACCGAGTTCTTTGAAGAAAGCACGTTCCAAGAGAGCTACGATAGGAACATAAGTCGCGGGGTCGTGTCTTTTTAATAGAGTTGCGACACTGGCCATGAGCATCTTCGGTGGAAAACAGCAGCAGGTGCCCGCTGCTGTGGAGACCTTGATCAATCTGACTTGCAATTCACTGGTGAAGAACTTTTCCTTGAGAAGATTGGTGAGCGTCATGAACAAGGACGAAATGCAGCATGTCTGTTTCGCGACGATGCCGACGATCGGCTGAGCGTAAGGCATCCCGAGCACGTCCGAATGATGATGGCTCTGAACGTTATTGACGCAGGACTTGTGTTTCGTCCGGTTGCAAGTGGCCGCGTGTGAAATATCACGGCGAACGGATTTCAAGCAGCTGGTCAGCGCTCCTATCATATCGATGACCTTCCTAGCACGGATTATCGACTTGGCTGAATCGACGCTCGGCAGATCGACGATCGCAAAAATCGTTCTCTCGACGAGCTTCCCGTCCTGGCTCTCCGTGAACAGTTGAAACAGTTCCAAGAAGTCGGACAATTTGTCCATCATGGCGCCTTGCTGCAAGAGACAGTAAAGGAAAGTCACTATCCCGTAGATAGTAGCGAAGATGAATTCCTGAAGAAGAGAGCCCTCCTCCGGCGAGAATACGTTCACCGGTTTGCCGCAAGCGTCTTCCAGCAATCTGAGAGTCATCGGTAATAAACCGTTGTGAATGACAGCGGTGGTCGGCTCGTTCGCCCTCAATACGCGTTCGAGGGCCGTGAGCATCAGCCTCGCTGCCGCGGCTTTCAGCGTGGCGCGTTCCGTCCCGCTCATGTTGGCTCCATCGATACCGAATTGCAAGGACCATAGCGTGTCCAAGGCGAATTTTAAGACCTGCACGGCTGGCGTTTGCTCAGCCGGAGTATCGTAATCCCTGAGACCTTGGAGCAGTTGAATGATCAAGAGACTCATCTCGAAGTTGCTGATTCTCGCGTCCAACGCGTCCTTGATTCTCTCGTCTATGTAATCCCTCGAGGTCTTCTTCACAGGCCTCGAGGGAAGTTCGTACAACGCGGCCTGCCATTTCTGCTCCTCGTCTCCGCTTCTAACGACGGAAGTGAAATACTCGAAATCCATAGGGTTCAGGTGGATCTTCAGAGTCAACGATCGCGCCTGATCTATTCCGTCTGTCAGCAGTTCGGACTCGCTGCTCGCGCTCTCCGGCGTGTTGCGCCGCGCTTCGAGCATCCCAAACGGTTTCTGTTTATGATAGACCGGCGGCAGTTTGCCACCGATAGTGTGTCTACGATTCGCTCTCTTTCTCGCCGATGCATTTCCCTCGTGAAGAACGCCGCTTCGACCAGATTTGCTCGGCCTTCGCTTCACGTGTGGCACGATGTCTACCGTGTCGACGGTGTCGTCGTTGGAGTAGAATTTCACATAGGGATTGCGCGCGCTGGCAATCGGAGGAGTATTGCTCGTTTGGACGACGTCGACTTTGTTCTTAGTCTCCTCTTGAAGGGCCTCTGGGTACAAGGCGATGAGCAGAGCCACTAGTTCTCGCCCACAAGATAGACCACGGACGCCGAGCAGATGGAGAACGGCCAGGCAGCGCCAGCCTCGATCTTGAGTCAGGTACTTTCTCAGTCCGACGAGTTCATCCCCGTTGACCCTCCTCGCGCAGAGATCGTGAACGTCCGAGAGCAATTCGCAAGCTATAAGGGTAGACACACCTCCACCTCCGACGGAACTGGAACGGATATTTCCATACTACGTCTTTTATATTTCTATCTTATCCATTGGATTAAGTCTTATCGCTCCGTTACTATCGGACTTCAGATACGACCATTGTCCGAGGCAACATCGACTGCGATTTGCAATATTATTTTCAGTGAAATACGCGATGTTTTCTGATCAAAACGAGATTAGGATTTTCAGTGTAAACGATCTCGCGCACTGGACAGTGTTATGGAATTGTAGTGTGTAGATGGAATTACTCTGTTTCTCAGTTTTATTGAGATTTCGACATAGAACCTGATCGAAATTAAGGTAACGAGCACACGAACTTGAGAAAGTGATTGAAATCTGGTAGGATAAAAGCACACATTAGCCATACATATACAGACAGAAAAAGTTACGTTAGCATCGAAACCACAAGCATGGGATCATGTTCTGCGGTCAATTGCCCCGTAGAAATGTGCACGCTATTATTTTTTCAAATAGTTTATCGAGTAAACATTATTGAAACCCGGGGGAGTAATGTTACAATGATTCATCTTCGATAGGGGAGTCAGCATTTTCACTAGTATCGGGTGAACGTAACTTGACTGTTATCGCGCTACGTGTCGTAGAAATCGGATCTCGTGATCTTACCAAAACGATAGGGCATCTTTTACGTCTCGGCCTTCTTTTATTTGAACGAGCAGTTCTGCGAGGAACACGTCCAACCAGGATGATTTCTAAACAGAAAAAAACAGGAGTCTCTTTGAATCATGCGAAATTTTTGCTACCGATAGCGATAGCCGGGGTACTAATTAGGGTAAGCCTAAATAAGTATGTATAAATAATTTGAACCTGTGTCTCTCGATATTGAACAAGAAAACAACTCGTTACGAAACGTGACGAGGAAACCGTAGATACGATTTGAAAAAATGAACAGAGATATTGTTTTCCGTAATTGTCGAAATGCACGTATCTATAAATTAATCACTTCGGTAGAAACGAACTAAACTAAAAGTGCAAGATTTCAAACGAAGTTACGTCACCGTCAGCCGATGCTTCTCGAATTCTATTACGATCCTATTTCAATCCTTTCGGAGTATGAGCTATCATTGTATTTGCTCGACACGTAAATACCATGATTCACAACGGAAAACAGACCATTAGTTCGTACAGAGCTTTAAGTCAATTTTGACAGATTATCCTCCATCCTCGCGATGAGATAAAACTCGGAGAGATAACCGACGTGCATAGTTTAACAGTCGAATGACATGGTGGAAAAGTCTGTTACATCGTTCTCATCGGTCATTTTCGTAAACAAGTATACGTGCACGTGAAATCGATAGTGTTTACGTTACACGAGACGGAGGATCATGCATTATTTCGATGCTTACCGCTAAGTATCGACAAGTATGTTACGCGTGACTTGTAAGTCATCCTTATGTTAGATGGGATTGCTAGGTGGTATTTAACCGTGACAGGACGATGATTACGAAATCACGCTTAGCAAGTTGTCGTTAATATAAATAGATTTGAATAAAACATCATTCATTGACGCATTACGCTTGGGTAACGTTAATTAAATCCGCGAGAGAAAGGATAAACGCGAAGGTGAGAACTGGTATCGCAAGAAATCAGTTTGCTATTTGACTTATTACAGAGTTCTACCGAGGAGCGACGATTGAAGCATATACGAAGAGGAAAATGATGGTTGGTGAGAGGAATACCGGTCGGGAGTACCTCGTAGCTCTGCGGCTCGGCGTGAATGAAGCGGTCCCACAAAATCTGGAGCTTGTTGGTCGAGACCGAAGACATTCCTGGACGATCCTCGTACTCCTTCTCGTCGTCCTCCTCTCTGTCTTCGGTCCTCAAGTGGGTATCCTCCTCATGGCTCATAAGCTCGTCGCTGAACCACGGGTAGACGGTGTTCTCACTGATCCTCCGAGGATCGCCGGTAACCCGATTACCTGAAAGTTCGATATTCACGTTCCTTGATTCCGCTCAACCGAAGCACCGCGCGCGTGTTCGATCTCGGATCGCCGCGGTCGCGACTGGTTGTCCTCTGCGCCGCTTCTCGCGACGACCACCTAGCGTTTATAGCACGTAGACATAGTGCATCGCCTGACCGGCTCCGGCGGCTCCTCGCATTCATTCTCGCGACGATACGTGTGTGCGTTTAACGTCGATCAACTACACAGCTTACATAACATCCCCACGAGTCCACGGCAGACCAGTTCCCAGCCTTCCGCGTGAAGCCTGAAAGCTTCTCGTTCCAACACGAACCACGGTCCGAGGGAGAGCAGTAACCCCGGATTCATAGCCTCGTCTAGGCCGCGACCACCGCCATCGCTGTTACTGACACCACTGGAACAGTGGAACGTGGTGACACGATTTGTCGCTTACTTATTACACTGAACCAACGAATAGTCTGTGTACCGTTTATCAGCCGATTTACTCTCGTTACACACGACGTTACTTCTTCTTATCTTCACTGCGGCCGTACACGACGATTCGTTCCTCTACCTCCAACTTCTACCGATTAAATGCTCGCGCGGACGTTTCTCTTCTCGTTTTCTCTCTCTCTTCAATCGCGACTGAGATTCTCCCAGTTTGATTGATCGTTCCACGGGAAACAAGACTACTGTCAATGCCCCCGATGGTTATTCTAAGAAAGTAACCGGCAAAACGTTAGACCACCGCTGGTCTTACCACCGGGGATCGCAACCTATCGTTCCGGTCAGCTGGCAACGATCTCCTATTTTTTTTTTTACTACGAACAGTGGATAAGCTCTTTGCAATTAGATGAACCACGCGTATCACTGAGTAAATCCGAAACGGTCTCTTCCCAAGCTTTCTTCACTCAGGTTTTTCTAGAACACGTTCATCGTCGAGCCGGTAGGAAATCAGCATCGGAAAATACGATAGAACTATTCCCAGACTAGTTCACCGATTGATCTGAATGACTCTTCGTGGCGAGATCTATATGAACCGTTCGCCACGGTACGACAAAGAAGGGGTAGACCAGAGACGAGCCTCCCGTGAGTCAAAGGGGTCTCCAATTGGCTTCTTTCCTCTGATGAAATCTTATGATTCTTGCACCGCCTTTACCCTCCTCCGTGTTATGAGATTAGAAAGGGGTTCACGCATGGTGCAGAAGCTAAAACACGCCTGGCTTTCGAACGTCATTAAAAATATCATTGATCAGTCACCTAAACCCAGGCGACGAGAACATGAAACAGCAGGTACTACTTACTCTTGGGTATAATACGAATTTGCATCGTTATCGTGTGAATGAAAATTTTTACAATTTTTCATTCAATTAGAACCATTGATTCAAAAAGAATCATCGATTTGTATCCCGTCTCCTCCCACGTTGTCGTAACTCCGCGAGAGTCTGACAAACAATGATAACTGCGAACACGTGCAATTGAAAACAGTTTTCAGTAGGCAGCAGCCACGCAGCCGTAATTGTCGATCAATCTTTAACTCATACAGGCGACTCATTATTGTTCTGCGTGATTATCTTAACGGAGTTTTCACCCCGCTGTTCTTTAATTAGCCTTGTACTCGACAGTGCGATAGCAGTTTTCATCCGCAGCTTGTGGCGCGTGAAAAACCGATTGATGTTTGTCCTGCGTGTGTCAGTGAGAGAACGAGTACAATCAGACAGTACGCGATAAGAATTGCGTAATAAAAGTGTTGTTCGCGTTGTTCTCAAATAAAACGAACGCGAACTTGACCAGGTAGCTCGGGAACGGAAAAATCAAATTCGATGGATCGATCAATCACGATAATGCAAAATGACGTTCTTAGTTCGTTGCCGCGTCGCGCCGTCCGCGTTACGTCGTTCCGTTGGTGCTTCGCTAACATTAATTAAAGTCACGTTATCTCGACCTTCAATTTTATATCTATCTCGATTAAAGAGCTACCGTGAAGATCATTTCTCTTACGCGGTGATTCAAGTGGTTCTGGGAATAATTCGATGAGAGGACCGGTCATACGTAAGTAGCCTAATCTTTGGCTTTCTATATTTTGTAGAAGTACATACATACATTTCACGACCCTGGCTATTTTTTTTCCTCTGACCGATTCGTGTCAAACAGCAAGCAGCAAACCGAGATAAGAGTTGACCCGCGGTGTTCTCCGTACAATATTGTAGATCTCGAGTACACGAGTTTTTTCCTAACCGTTTTTTCTCCCCACTGAAGTTTACTGTATTTTCAACTTGCGTCATGTTCCCGCCATGCGTGTACGCGATTCCGTGCGCGACGAAACCACGGTGGACATCGCACAAGGAAATTACGTGCACTCAGGGGAACAAGATTCTTTCAAGAGAATTATACACAGCTGTTTCAATTTCTCACGGAGTATTCGTTACCTGCGGCCAGGCCGAGTGGACGGAATTCCGTGAGAGAGTCTTTTGACGATTAGTCGCAGTTCTGGGATAACAACATCATCGACACCATTGTTCTTTCGGTACTGTACGCACCACCGTTACCGTTAGGAGTGTTAGGTACTGAGTACTTGAAACATTATCCTGCCCGCGATTTTCGAGCCGCTTGGGAAACACCGTCAGTAGAACATCATTTCGGAATAAAAACTGATTGCACAACAATTTTTTCATCGACCTCGTGCTTCAGTAAATGTATCTCTCGTTCGCCCGGATAGAGAACGTTTATCCCAGGAAAGTAATTTAAGTATCGATTGGGTGTCAGAAGAACCGTTTGCTCGTACAGATGCATTTTATATTTTTCTAACTAATAGTTTATAAACGTTCACTGTACGTTAGAACAAAACGTGCTGCCACCTGCGTATGCGCGTGACATTTCCAACGATCTTACCAGATGGATAGGAATCATTCGTTAGTCGTCGAGAAGTACTCTTAAAACGTTCCTAACCTGCGGATGCTCCGGTGTACTTCCATCGAGCCTCCATGCGAGGATAATTATACATATATGTATGTATATACGTGTAAATATATATACACACATACCGGTTTCGAGTAGAATTTTTAACAACGAGACATGACCATGTGGGAGAGACTGCGAAATCCTTGCGGCTGGAGGGCTGGTGCCAAGCAGATTTCGGTCGATGCAATGATACCGATATTTGCGGTCCCGACGTTAGCAGTAATAGCTGCACAAACGGTACTGTGCACCGTGATAATATTTGTTGCCACACCGATACTGGTGTACTATCTGTACCACAATTTTCTAAGATTTCTACTCCGCACCAAGTTCTTTCTGATGTGGACGATCACGAGCGTAGTCATGTTGATGCTGATCTTTGAGATGAGTGTGGTACCGCTATTAGAAATCTTGCCAGAGGAAAACCTAGTGTTTATAGTATGTGTAGTGAGCGGCATATGGTGTGGCTACATGGCCAGATTAAAGGCAGACACTCCTACTCAAGAGAGCACCTCTGGTCAAGGATTAGAGCTTGGAGAAGGGAGCGGGGAGCTCTGCATCACATGTAGAAGAAGAGCACCTCCCAGAGCTTATCACTGTCGAATGTGTCAGACATGTATCCTTAACAGGGAATATCACTGCAAATGGTACAGCTCTCCCTTTATAAAAAACGTACCCTTAGAATCGATTTCAAGTACATGTTTCACGTTCTAGGCTGGACTGTTGTATAGGTTCTAGCAATTTGAGATGGTACTTGAGATGTTTGTTCTTCTCGGCTGTAGCTTTCATTTACGGTTCGAATTTGACCATGACTAGCGTATGCCATCCGTTCATATTGATCGGTACTGTCCTTATGCCAGATGATTGCAGCGATGTCTATCAAGAGCTCGAGTATGTATCGCTTAGAAGCTACTTTATATATTAAAACACTTTTTGTTATTAAGTCTGAAGACTAAACTGGAAAGATACCGAGGATTTACAATGCAAACTTCAATAATCGCACGATGCCGATAATTGTCGAGACTCGTGTTAGCATCATAAATATTGTAATATCTCTCGGCAATATAAAAGTTGGATAGATAACATGTTTGCTTTGGATACTCGATGCAAGTGTAATAATGTACATATTGTTCCAGCATTGCCCTTTGCTTCGTCTCGGCGCTCTACAGCTTGCTCGTTGGGCTAGTAGTAGTTTGTTATTTGATGTATCACCTTTGGTTGATTTACCTTGGTACGACATCGAATGAGCGACGACTCCTCAAAGCTGCAAGTCCGTACGACCATGGGATGTTGAAAAACGTCTCTCGATTATTCTGTTGCAAAACTTAGGTATTTAATTGTAGACTAGATTATTCAATTTTCTTTGTGCAGAAGGTACTCTGTACCGTGGGAAGGATGAAAGATCAGGCACTATGGTACGTGAAAGCAGAAGCTTTCGTGTCATATAGTTTCCTCTATTGATACTCGGGTTCTTGCCCCTTTTTCACGATAATGGCGTATCTAATAATAATTTTAAGCTGTCGCTCGTAATATTGACCTTAATCAGGACATATTATGCAATGATCTCAGTTAAAGATTCTTAATTAATATTTATTTCATTACTGTGCACATTTCTATATTTATTGTAACTGTGATAAACTGGCCATTGTACTACTAATGCAATAAATTATGATACATCTGTAAGGACTGAACGTGGATTGTGTGATGGATGTTCTTTTACATGAAATCATACAAAATTAATGGCAGTCCCCGTGTGTCGTGTGTCGTTAGGTACCGCTGTAACAGAGTATGTGCCTCTTCACATTTCACTCTCATTGACCGATTTCACTCGTCGCACGCAACTCCTCTCTGTTTCGGGTCAAAGTCAGGAATCACCTTTTGCACTAATCGTCGTAATTCGTCTTTTCTTTTCTCGGTTTCTTTAATCTCCTCAGTGATCAGTAGATACCTCTTCCACGTACCGAAATACTTTGACTTTAATTTGTTCTCATGAAAGTTGTTCGCCAACTCTACTTTCTTTCCATACTCTGCTTCGAGTTCTATCGTTCGCACGTGCCACGACTTAAAATACTTGTCTAGGAGTTTCATATCGTGAAAATCTGTTGCAACTTGATATTTCGCGTTAATTTCCTTCGCGAACTGCTTCCACTTCTCAAAAACGCTTGCCATCACGTTTTTCGAGTATATCAACTCGGTGATTTCAATTTTCATTTTATACTGTCTTTCAGCTTCGCTTCGCCACGCTGTGAATGCTGTCCTTAGCAAATTTTCTCTGTAATGATCATCAGCTTTTTTCATATTATTTCGTTTCTCTTCGACGAGCGTTATGAGAGGTTTTAATACGTGGCGTTTTAAAAGATACTTCCTATAAAACTCATCAGCCATGTTATTTAATCGTTGATACTTTTCTATTTCACGCTGCCTGTTTTCTTCTTGTTCCTTTCGTAATCTTCTCGCTTCAGCTATAGCCTGTTAAAAGAAATAAATGGAATGTTCATGATCATTTAAAAAAGATACCCATAGTGAGTATAATCGTATGAAAAATTATATTCTCGAAGAGATAAGAAAGATTTGCAAGGTGAAATTAATGCTTATGACATTTAACATGACATTAATATACTTCGACCCCTTCTACTATCTGACCTCTTGTTGTAATCTTCTCTTTTTCTGTTCCTCCTCTATTCTAACAGCTTCTTCTTTTCTCCTCTGCTCCTCGAGTTTCTGTCTCCGCGATTCCTCGGCTAATTTTATTCTTTTACGCCTGGCTTCTGCCCGAGCTTCCATCCTCAACAGAAATTTCGGTGGGTCCGGCGGTCTCCGCGGTACGGTTAAACACGCGTCTCTTTCAGAAAGATACGCACTCTATTAAATTAAACTTCTCGATAGAAATTGTCAATTGTCTAGAAATCTGCATTTTACCTGTAACCGTTCTGTTGCATCAATTGAACCAAAGTCCTCCTCGTTTTCTGTCCACAATGAGTGAGAGTCTCTTTAGCTATGTCCACCGTGTCCCTGTTCGCTTGTGATATTTCGCTCTGCATTTGTCTCAATCTTAATTCCTCGATTATCCTGTTTTGCTCGGCCAGTTTAGCCTTCTGTTTTTCTATTATCTGTTTCTGAGCGTTTAATCGGCTCTGCGCCGGCGACTCGACAATAACATGCTTAACACGACTGACTTTCCTCTTTTCACTCTCCTTGCTGCTCTCCTTTACCGCTTTAACATCCTTGATTTTTGGTTTCTGATTTTTCATCAGTTCTCTCTGATGTTCTGTGATCGCATTTATAAACATTTCGATCCTCCTCTCTTCGGAGACTTCTTGTTTCTCTTTCCTTTTCTGTTCAGCACTTTTTGCCTCTCTCGTACGAGTTCTCCAAATATCGAAATACTTCCTCGTTAACTGCGACACCGTCCTCTGCTGTATCTTTATCTTTATATCGCGAAGACGTTGCTCCTCAACGGCATTTTGCTTGAGAGCATCAAAGAATTTCCTTAAAATACATAAACGTTGTGCTTCCGTCTCAAAGTTAGGCTTATCCTTAATAGTTATTTTTATGCTTCCTATACACGGAGCCTCGCATTTAGCTTCCTTCAGAATGTTCTTGTCCTCCCCTTTCAACGAACTGACATCCGTCTCTGACAATTTTTCCCGGATGCAATCAACGATCCTTTCACGACGAGCGCTGATCTGCTCACTCGTCTGCGAAGAAATCTATGTATCCCTCTGTTACAGCAAACACCACGGGTAGTTCATACCGACCTTGCTCCTCAGCTTTCTAGTCGTCCCCCAAAAATCTTCGTCGTCCGACGGTGCAAAGTTTCTCTTCTTACACGCGTACGACTCCGAGAACTTCGGTCGCGATTTCGTTAGCTCCAACTCAAATCTTTTTAATTCCCTCTCGAGAAACCGTTGCTGCTTCTTCATGTACATTTGCCTCGTCTCTTCCTGCGTCATTAATCTACGAATTTACATATTGAAACTAAAGTCTTTATTCGTTTACGTTTGCAACTCCGTGTGCCGTACTTTTTAGCTTCAGCCAAAACGGAGCTCCTCGAGGGCGAAGCGGGCAAATTCTCTCGCAGTACCCGATGCCTCGCATCCATTATTAAATTCGGATCGAGAAACGTTTTTTCTTCATCCTTTAACATGCGAAGTTTCTCCGACGGACGAAAGATATCTACCTCCATCATTTGGTCCATCAAATTGGTCACCTCATCAACGTGTACCATGATGGATTGGGTTTTAATGAGTCCCAATGATACTTCGACGTTCAGGAGCAAAGCGTTGTTGACGCGTCGCTGTTTCGTTGTTAAGGAAATATACACGCGACCCTCGTTCGTAAACTGAGGGGTGGAAATAGAGTGTATCGTGACGAAACACTATCGAATTCCTCTCTATTGTCGAGACAAACAATTTCCTTCCGAACAATACACGTCGGGCGTTTCGGGATAGTTTAACTTCATTAATTGCGGTCTTTCGAGAAATTACGTTTCTTTGAGAATAAATCGAGTCCTTGCTTTTCATTCTTGGCGAGGATAAACTCGTTAGAATCATTGTATCTCAAATACATCGAAGAGTCGCACATTTTTGATCCCGCCCTTGAATTCGAACGTTTCCCGCTGTTCCAGTGGTGCTCAGCTGGCATTATGAAGCTGATAACGTCGATTGTTGACGAGCCAGTGAGTTGCAGCAGGTGCATCACAAGGCAAAAAGTGCATCGACTTCGGAAAGTAGTATATTAATAATGGTAAGCCTTTCATTTCTGTCAGATCAAGAGATCAGTTCATCCTTACCCCGATGTGATTGTTTGCCACCTTCGTCCAACGATCCCGACACATTCTCCGAGTGTGATCATAGCACGGTTAAAGGATAACGAACGTTCTTAATACTGTCCAGAAACAAGCGAGTGTAGCGTAGTATGAAAACGTATTTTCAGCAGGTCGCAGACGTTGTAATATCCCTGGTACACAACGAGAAATAAAATGGATCCAAGGGGCCCTCCTGAGGGGGCCCCTGCTAGCTCGTTCGAGACAGCCCACATTGACAAAATAACTGACGCTTCCGTGAATTGGCCCGCAGATCAATCGCTCCCGTCGTCAATGTGCGAACAGTCGAAAAAAATGAATAACAACAAGCTATTATTTTTAACTGTAAGTAAATTAATGAGGCCACTCATCGGTGGATGAGAGAACGGTGCTGAAATCAGTTTGTTTTGTGTCAGGTGGAATACGTGGAGGATCAGTCACGGGAATACTCTCGTTTATTCCCGACGTACGAACAAGTTTCGTTCTCTCCCAGAGCATCGTCTCCTCTCTCCGACTTCGAACACCGCGTCAGTCCTCTTGACCCCAATATGAGTTCAGCAGCTAGATACTCACCGACCCCAGTACAGCTTCCTCCATCTCCTTTCCACAATTCTGTCGTTGTGTTGCAAAGTCCTTCATCTCCTTTAATATCTTCATCAGAGTCAAACGAAAGAGCAAGTGTTAATTACGTTTCGCAATTGACTCATCCTATCGATGCACAGAGCGTGCAGCAAACAGATAACGCGGCTGAGTTTGTTGCCAATGAGAACGAGGAGGAGCAGCTGGTGTCCAGTGTCGGTACCGAATTAATTTTGATGCAAGGTAAATTTCGTTCTTCTTTCTCCGTCAGGGCAGACAGATGATGCAAGATATATTTGTAGAGTCTAATTCTGGGCTAGAATCTGCAACAGCTCCATTGATGTTGACTGGAATGCCAAGTACAGATTTTACGTTGAGCAGAGACTTTCTCGTCATGCAAGACGATCAAATAAACGTTATCAATTCGTTTAAAGCACAAAATCTTGACGTGGACGATTCTACTCAGCTTTCATCGGCTGCAGAGAATTCGAATAAAGAGAACGACACGGTGTCTAATGGAAAAGAAATTAATGAAACGTTGACGCCGGCTGAAGAGAAGAAAGATTGCGAGAAACAAAATGTTAGACGCTCGAAACGTCGTATAAACGACAAAAAGAATTTATGTATGTATAATTTTATTGGAGATCTTGTTTAATCGACGGTGGACTGAGTCTTATATTCTTTCTCTAGGCTGCGACGAATGCACAGACGATGCGTGCACCGGTGACAATTGCACTTCGCATAACATTTGTACAATAGCTGACCAGCCAGTACCATCACGCGCTATAGCGACACTGCCAGGGTCTTACCTTTCCATAAATAAATTAGCCACTTCCGAAATCGTATCGGGTGGATCGGATTATGGGGTGTTTGCCAAACGTTACATACAAAAACGAACTCGATTCGGTCCCATAGAAGGGATCCTGTGCCCATACGATGGTACATCATTTAAGAACGAGTTGCCGTTGCTCTTTGAAACTGAGAATAAAGAATTCTTCAAAGTCGACGTCTCGAACGAAAGTAGGTAATCATTTTTCGACTAGTCTAATGAATCGAGGAAAATATCTAAATGTTATTTCGCGAGTTAGATGCCTCGAACTGGATGCGTTTCGTTAGACCCGCGTTAACTTACAAGGATCAGAATCTGGTGATATGCCAACAGCGTGACGGAATAGTATTTTTGACCACGAGAAGTATTTTGCCCAAGGAAGAGTTAAGGGCTGGTCCCAGTACCGATTACGCGATCCGTCGAAATTTGGTACCGCTCATGAGCGCAGAGGAAGCGAAGGATAATAAAGGTAGAATCACGGCTTTCGTTACGAAACCGGTATTTGCATTTATACAATCATTTATTTATAGAGCACAAGAATCAGTTATCGACTTGGTCGCGATTGGACGATGATCATTCCCGACGTGTGAAAGTGTTTCGCGGTAGGAATTTAAAGGAGAAGGAGAACTCGCGGCAGAACAATACGAAAGAATGGAAATGTTCGGTTTGCAGTCTGATCTTCAGAAAGCCGCTTCTGCTCAATGTGCATAGCCTCGTTCACGGGACTGAGAAGATGAAAACCAAGATTCGGTTCACGGTTTGCCCGCAGTGCGGGCTGCAGTTTCCGAAGCAGAAGGAATTGATCAATCACGTTTCGCAGCACGGGAGATTAGCTTTGAAGAAAGCCAAAAGAGTGGCTACTTTGTCTACATATAAGTGTTCAATGTGCTACAAACGTTTCGCGACGAAAGTGCGACTGCAACAGCACTACCTGGTGCATGGTGCTGAAGACCAAAAACCACTGCCATGCAATATATGCTTTAAGAGATTCATGAACAACTCAGCCCTGTCTTGTCACTTAAAAACGCACAGAGGTAAATTCATTCTGATCCATGCTGACAAACCTCTGTCGTTGTTGTTTACGCTTACATTCTTTTCGTACAGAGAATAAACAAGTGTTTGAGTGCCCGATGTGCCGGGAACTGTTCAGTCAAAGCATGACGTTAAAAGATCACATCGAGACTCATAAGAAAGAAGACGGCACGTTCAGCTGCCCCTACTGCCAAAGAATATTTAACAAATACTCAGTTATTCGTAAGCACATTAGAGCTCATCATTGCGAGAGGAAACATAAATGCCAAATATGTGCAAAGCGGTTTGCAACGGTAGACAAATTACAGATGCATCTATTAAAACATTCCGATCACAGGTACGCTGAACGTTTGTACTCTGTATAAAACTGCGTTACACGCGTATCATAAAATATGCCTGATTCTTACGTAGAGAGTTCCATTGCGCGAACTGCGGGAAACAGTTCAAAAGGAAGGACAAGCTGAAGGAGCATATGACTAAATTACATAATTCGCAAACGGCGACCGAAGAACAGATGTCACAAGTTACGCAAACTAAAAAATTCGTCCCGAAGGTATTTTTTCGTTTTGTCGTGCGAGCTCCTCGATGGATACTTGATATTAATTTTATATACCGTTAACAGGTGAATCCGAACGATTACAATCGTTTCGTTTATAAATGCCATCAATGTCTAGTAGGTTTCAAGCGCAGAGGAATGCTGGTGAATCATTTAGCAAAGCGCCATCCGGATGTGGCGCCAGAGTCTGTGCCAGAATTGAACTTACCGATCTTGCGCCAAACGAGAGACTACTACTGTCAATACTGCGAAAAAGTACGGTATCGCTCGCTTGTAAGATAAATGCTAGTACAATTGGCTCGATAATTCTCGACCTATCTTTTGTTAAAGGTCTACAAAAGTAGTAGTAAACGTAAAGCACATATCATGAAAAATCACCCGGGAGCTGCTTTACCGCCGAGCAATCGTCAGAAGGAATCGGATTATTCCGATTTACCGAACCCAACATTCAGCCAAACCGTCGGCAGCATCACGACCACTCCCCAAGGTTGCCAATGGTGTCACAAGCAGTACGCTAGTAAGGTGAGCCTTGAGAAATTCTTTGCGTCTTTAACGTGAATTTTGCGAATCGTTTATGTCCTACAGGCGAAGCTGTTGCAACATCAACGAAAGAAACACCCGAATCTGATGGAGCCAGCTGATCAAATACCGCGTTCGCGCAATCGACAGCCACAGAATCAGAATCAGCCTCCGATGTTGATCGACGATCATTTCGTATTGTCCGATTACATTCAAGCGTGCGACGTGAATACCGAATTCTTCAAGCCGCGAATAATCAAAATATCTAACGACGTCGATCTGATAAGTAATGGTTTAGAGATGGTCGGGCAACAATTTGTTCGTATGCGCGACATACGTTGAGACGATCGTTGGCAGCCTCAACGGGAGGTCTTGTCGTCTTGTCTATTCATGAGATATGAATCTCATCAGTTTGTGCGCAGTGAAGAAACACTGTGCTTTTTGCTGCCGTTGCCAAATAAAGGGCACCGATGCCCACGGGAGTAATTCTCCGGTGAAGAAATATTTGGAGCACGGCTTGGTCGGCGTCAGTGCGAAACACTGAACGCTGTTTTGTTGGTTCCACGGTCGTCGATGACATCGAGGCCGTGCGATTTGATCGTAACTTTGAACAAATTTGTTGGAACGGAGTACACGCTATTTTACGAATGCTTTGGCCCTCGATGGCGAAAACATGGATGAACGATTTCATTGTTAAACACACGACGACGAAACATAAACATGGAGACTTAAGACTTAAAACACAACGGGAAACATGTTAGTTATTGAGATCTTTGCTCAAAGGTATTACAAGTACAGAGCGCAAGGAAAAAAAAAAGGTAGAACAACTCCTCTTACTGTCGGTACACGTTGCTGACGTTAAATCTAGTAGTTTCTTTTGAAATCTCGACAAAGCTTCAATTCGATGTGATTCAATTATGGATGTGTAGGGTGATCGGATTTAAGCTTCAAGTTTAAAGTGAAATTTAAACGTACGGCTTGGATTTGGAAAGCAATGATGAATCTTAGATCAGTGTAATCTCGTCTGTAAGATGTGGTTTTTTTTTTTATAGACCCGATCGTAGTATCTATATGTTACACTTGACTTCGACGGTAAAGACAGTTGTCCGTAGATTACACAGGATGTTGTAGTCTGTTAAGAATCGATCGATCACTTTTACTCTGTCTATATCTTTCTCTCGTAATTTATAACTTTCCGTCATAATTGATCATGTCCGTTCTCGTCCAGAGAAACGTACTTTCGGTCTAGATTCATTCGTCGCACAAATCTTTGAAGACCTTTCACTAACCGAGTTTAGTGTCACGGTTCTCTGCATCCATCATACTCATCGAATTGAAATATCTGGTTGAAAAGTTGAAGGTATTAATAGTTACCTAGACGAGAAAACTTTTGTCTTTGTAATTTTGTGATGCATGTGAAATTGATCGTATTTAAACGATTCGCTCGCGAAACGAAGCCCTGTAAACGATTCAAATTCTGATTCTCTGAATGTAAAGTGATGTATCACAGATTGGCAAGAGTATTCGAAACTCGATTCACATGCATTATACCCATAATCTCCTTATGGAACAATAAGGCGAAGACAAAAGAGATTGCATGTTTGTTAATGTTGTTGAGTACATGGTGAAATGTATATTGTAACGTGACTTAAATAAAGTTACTCGATGACTGAACCATGTACGACTCACTATACAGTAAGATCGAGAGATTTACTGCAACTAGGAAAGTCAGATTATTATCTCTTTCTTGAAATTTTGCCCTTAAGCGTTTCGCTGACGATAGCCAACGGGCCAACTGCGTCAGGCTTGACAGCCGTGTTAAACGTGGTCGTACTGGATCCACCCTTTCGCATCTGTGCCATCTCGTGCAACTCTTTTTGCATTACTGTTAAAGAAACCTTATTCGCCGAAAAGAAATCCTTCATAGAGATCATCTCTCCGGACATCCTTCGCGGTGTCTCAGTATGATCTTTGAACGAATCCCTCGCCGCCACTCTCGTTCCTCTCCTCTTCGAAAAGTAAATCGTAGACAAAGAGGACCTCCTCCTGGGTAGGTGCAACGCGGTCGGATCTTGATTCCCGCATTGTATCTTTTGTATAATGTAATTCAATCCTTGTTTTATTATGATAGAAGTAACGTTCAACAGGGAGTACGTGCAGCAGCATCCGATCACCAGAAATACACAGTTGGCGATACGATACCTGTCCGTTGGAAGAAGTCGGTGCATGAGCCGAAGAACGTATTCATGAATTCGAACGAACGTACCAATGAACATGAGGATAATAAGATTTCTGCGTGCTGACGAAGTCCCCGAAGCCGATGGTCGCGAAGCTGACGAAACAAAAGTAGAGTGCATCGAAGTATTCCCAGTCCTCGAACGGCGCATAAACCGCAGCGGCGCAGCAAGCCAAAGAGCAGCACATCAACAACAAGAAGAGCATCACCCAGTACACGCTCGGTTTCCATTCATCGAGATCAGAATCATCGTCGTCGTCGACTATGTCCGGTAAACCGGAGCTTTCATTCTTGGACGACCTGAAAGACCGTCGGGAAGCCAACGAGTTCTTCCGAACGCGTCTCTTTAAACGATTCACGTGTATGTTCCGCAAGATCCAAGCTAGGAACGTGATGGTCCTTTCAAGGAACAAGTTGAAGAACAGAATTCCGCCTGGAAAAATTTCAGTTCATCGATATCGCGTCGCTGTGTCGACGGATACTAGTAACATTACCAGAACATCCAAGGAAGCCATAAAGGACAGCGGCTACTTTACCCGCTGTCGTTCGCGGTGTAGTATTCCCGTATCCTGCGAAATGGACACAGAAATCAAACTCATATCCTACTGCAAAGTGCTGGAGGTGGTAAATACAAGACTAGGTCAGAAGATATTAACGTTCTGGAATTCACCGGTACATTCTTGCGCGCGCTACGGGCGACGACCCTTACCCCCTTTACTCGACGCTATTGTGGCCAACTCTTAGCGCGATAAATGATCGACTTTTTAAGTGAACGATCGGAAAATAACTAAACTTGTAAGATACGAAGAATATGGAACGAACGTTGCAAATAATTTCGCAATTAGCGATACACTCGATTTTCCAAAAGGAGAAGAAACGCTACCGAGATAAGTCACGTCCCAGTGACCTATTATCCCGGATCACTTGCACCATTGAATAAAATTCCAAACAGGCCATTACACATTTCTTACCGATCGTGGAAACGATGGTACCCACGAAATGTAGACTGCCGAAGAAGTCCCATCGTTGACTTTTATCGATGGTACCGGAAGAAGCATTTCCGTAGGCGTACAACAGTTCGTCCAATTTTTGAAGAGCGATCTCACCATTCTGCAAGTGATGCCTTCGAAAAGTGTGGTAAACGCGCCAAAAGTTTGCAGCCTGATTGACGAATGAATTGAGAGGAGGAATTTGTAGATTGAAGATATCGATGAGACGTCTTACCTCTCGTGCTTCAAGATCAGCCTCCAGCTGTTGAAAAAGCACGGCACCAGCCACCATGTACAATGCCAAGACAATGAAAAGGAGGATAAACCTCGCGTTGTCGTCGCCGAGACCGCTGCATACGCACATCACCGGTGATTTTCATCTCTGAGGACACGAGTGACTGGTTGCAACTCCCCACCTTCGGTTCTCCACCGGCGCACACTCGGAGTATGCCCGAAGATCTGCTGCAGACATGCCGTTAATAAGAATCACAAAGAGAAGTACGAACCAAATTTTAATCTCTATTGCACCGCGAGAATTTAACTTCGTCGAACGAAATAATTTGCATGCGTTTCATTTCTTTTTAATTTCCCACTGCAAAATCGTATGTCGCACGCGATATCATTGATGAAACTCAAGCGCAGGAAATGTAGGACGGCAACGCGTGCCACTATGAAAAGAAGAGTCTTTGATAGTCTAAAAATAGGAACCAAATCAGTATACTGAACGAGATCCTTTTGTGAGCGCAGGGGTGTAATGTAAACTTTGCTCATGATTATTGTGCTCGCGAGTTCTTTGGATTGTACCCCGAAAATACACAAACTCCATCCCAAAAATAGTCTTGTTCCGACGCGTTTTTTCTTCGTTCAAGGCTTTTTAGAAGATAGAATCGCTAGTAGGACATTAAAAAATAAATCAAGTCGAACGTATAATAAAAATAGAGTTTATTAACAATTTATGTAGGCAATCTAACGGCATCTACGATATTCATATAAATACTGTAAACTAGGCACATTGACTCTTACATCGAAATATTCGTAGGTACATGCGTAGAAATCTATCGAGTCCATAAAATTAACATTAATCAGTTTAATACCATTAAGTACGAAATCAGAAAGGATCGCAAGGGGCATTTACACTATAATTCTAGCAGTCGTGCTCGCATTACGATTCTCAGTGCCTTGCTTGTGGGCCTTCTTCTAATTTCCTCCAGACAACCTGAAACAAATGTTTTTAATGCAGTTAATTGACGCGCTTCGGATAAAATTCGCACGTCCAATAATGATAACTCGTACATTACACATTTCTCTGACCAAAGCCTTCTCTCCGTCGTGGCCTCCTTCTCTTTCGAGTTGTTCTCTAACTTCGAGAACCTGAAGAGCTCGCACCACAGCTTCCGGTCGGCTTCCGATATGAGGATTTTCCCCCGGACTATTTTGGTTCTCCCAAATTTCTCCAGGCGGTACCTCCCATCCTTGTGCTCGCGCTTGTAGAACACTCTTGTCTTCTTCGAGCTGTTTCACTCGCTGTTCCAAGCTCCTCACGTACTGCATGGTTTGATCTGTAAGATGTGGGTTTAAAAATCGAACATTTTAGTTTCGCCAAGAATAATAGGTAATTGTACCATTGAACGTGGACGTGTGCCTCGGCCTCGGAGGTACAGTTTCTTCGGCATTGGTGCTCGAACTCGAACCATCTCCGTCGTCCCTTTGACCACCTCCTCTCTCTTCGTCTAAGTAGAGGCAGAGTTCTTTTAACTCGAGATTATCCTTGATCAGCTCTTGCTGTTTGTTATCCAATTGACGTAATTTATTTTGATAAGCTGACACTTCTTGTCGCATGACCGAGGCCGTGTACCTCCCGAATCTTTGCCATTCCCTCGCCAACTTCCGTCCCTTTTGACGATCGTCGTCCAAAAAGCAACAGAGATCTCGCAGCTCTTGATTATCATCGCTTAATCTTTGGTTTGCCTCCTTTAACGCTCGGAGCTCGCTGAGCTGGATGAAAAATGCATAACGAAAGGAGAATGATCAACCGTCGTCTTATCGTTCGTCGATGATTCTTAAAGAAACAGAATTTGATCGACGATCGTTCGCGATTGGCCACACGCACGTGCGTGACTGGTTGAAATTTCGACAGTGAACTCGACCCGCGTGACCCAAAAGTGCCGCAAAAACTTCCGCGTGACGCGCTCAACATCCGTGATCGTATCTGCTTCGCAAAATCGTGTAAATATGAACAAAAGACGGTACCGTTGCTTTTACTCTCGTCAGAATTAACTTTTACTTTCGTTTTATGTCATCGTCGTCTACACGAACTTGTCTTTGTCATGTTTCGTTTTTAGAAAAATCCCGACTTACCAAGTTTTGTATCTGACGATTCTGCTCGGCGGCGAGCCTCGCTATGTCGCTCTCGGTCTTCCGGACGAACTTCAGCATCTCCACGGGTCCCAGCCTGAGAAACTCCTCGTCCGTGATCCTCTGTCTGAGCGGCGGTGTTTGCGCCGTGTTTACCGTGGGATACTGACCGTTAGGTGGCAAGTACTGGCCTTGCCCGACCTTGGCCTGGAGATAACTATGCGGTGGCTGCGTTTTTGGGACGGGCGCAGCCAAAGCGTTTCCGCCTTGAGGATGATGTCGATGCTCTATCCTCGGCGAGTACTTGCCCTGCGCATCCTTCGTCTGCGGCACGGCTCGCGGCTGCGTTTGCTGATGATGATTCAAGGCCGCGACGGAACCTTGGCCGGAGGCGGAGACCGAGGTAGGCACGGACGGGCCTGGACCGAAATGCGGATGATTCTTCAGGATGCCGCCGGTTGGCTGCGGCGGTGGCTGATACCGCGGTGGCACTTGTTCCACTGCCGACTTGATCACGTGCGAAGGATGCTGCTGCTGCTGCGGCTGGGACTTACTCTTATTGGACATCGCGGCTAATTTAGCTCCAGGCTGCGTCGTGTCCCATTTCAGAGAGTCCACCGCGACTCCTTCGTACCGGCCTGTCTCGTTCGACCCGCTGCGATCTGGGTCACCGTACGGTCTCTCTCTTTCTCTTGTTCCCCTGCTCCCACTCAAGATCGGATATGCTATTTAAGAGGAGGCCCGTGCGATGCGTGCCGAACCTCCCCGCGAGTCTTACCTTATCACCTGGCGAACCTTCCAAACTTATGTCCCTCTGACGTTTCAAATACCGTCTCCCACTCGTCGAGCTTCTTCTTCTTCGAGATCCCGCGTATGTTATGGTTCCAGCGCGTTCACAAGTGTTCGAACGTTCCTCACACGTAACTTCTCAAACAAGTCTATCCAATCCCGCGTACTCGCGCTACGCAAACAGCCTTGGCTTCGTTGCGGTATTAAAGAGTCGACGGCCTCGCGTCACTCCGTGATTCCGTACGATCGCATGGTATGCTCGCGTTCCAGCGGTTTAAATCCCGGAAGCATAGTTCCTCGATGGAACAGAGTCTCACAGCCTAATCCCTGCCGCGTGGACACTCGTTTTCGGTACTGAAATCTCGAGAATACCAGTGACAGTGATGCTCCACTACCGACTCCCGAGAGGTAATGCGCCCAGCCGGGCCCCCGTTTTTCTCGCTGCGGGGCCGCATTTCACGAGCCACAGTGCCGTAACATCGAGAGGGGCGGTGAAACCCTGTCGTCCGAGACGGAACCGCCGTAGAGAGGCTTCCACGATTTTTAATCGATTTCACTTACTACGAAAAACAGCGCGATCGTTCCTTGCCCATGCGAGCGATCTTCAGTATCCGGAAGTACGTGAGACGTTTCTTCGAACGTTTTACTCGCGCACAATTGTTTGCACGTACCAAGTTTACGTTCGCATCGAGTCTCGCGTGGTACCTTAGTACATATATTGTTTTCCCACCCCAGGACCGATGATCCCGAAGGAAAATCCTGTGAAAACGATACACCGACAATATGGCGACGATCGCCGGACCTGCGATCCGAGAAACGATTACGGACGACGCTGGATCTTTAAGGCTTAGATGAGGGAACAGGAAGGTAACTGGTGATTGGACCGACTTCTCCTTTTAGGAGGGGAGTTAGTGGTCTGTTTTATTCGTCGGAGGTAGAAAGGAACAGAATCCTGAAGACCGAGGTAAGGAGAGCCTCAGTTCAGTGCATACGGTGCATGCTCTTGAAGCCTCGCCTTTGATTGCATTTATTCTATCTGAATTTCTTATTGACAAGAAGGCTGAGATATATCTGTTATATTCTTTATTGTGAGAGGTCAGTATACACTCATACATCTTTATAAAAGCAACGAAGAATCATTCACATACTGAATGATCCTGATGCTATAACATACTTACAGTCATATCGTATAACGATGCATAAATCTTCATACTCTCGTGCATATAATTTCCCTGATTCATACGTGATTCGTCAGCGAATTTATTTCCGAATTCCTGTACGATCATAAAACGTCGCGGGTTTTTTTCAATTAAACTTCTCGAACTACGCATGCTTATCACTCATCGCTACGAATAGCACGCATGCGTTCGCAATTAAATTGATATTCGCGGGTATACGCGAATAAACTCTAATCCGCATAATTGTTAGATTACTTTACTAATGATCTGAGTGTCCAGACTGGTCTAGCCGCGTTTTACGTGTTCTTTCTTCAAAAAACGTTTCCAAGCCTTATCGCTACTTCGTTATCTCATCTTATCAAGTGTATACACATGATTCGCAAATTAATTGATCGATAAGACTCTACCGTACGTGTGAGAATTTGTAGCTTTTGGGATATAGAACAAAGGATGTACGATAGCAATTGTTTCCATAATGATTTGTCAAACATTCCACTTATTTTAACGAAATTCGATGTAAATTTCGTTTCGTGTAAAAATGAATTGATCAAACGAGAAATTGTGAGCTGTCAGGAGATAACATTTGCTCGGTACAATACCCATTGTGCTCAGTGATTTATGCGTGAGGCAATATCAGAGGAAACAATGACGTGTCGTTATGTAACTTTATCAAATAACACGATTTGTTATCGTCTTTGCATCGCTTTAAACTTAATGCCTCTGCGGCGGGTGAGAAGTGAGGTTACTTGCTTACGTGTCATAGCATAAGATATAAGGTATAAGCATTGATTTTATTTTTCCCTATATACATTCTTGTAAATACATTATTTTCACTGTATTAAGAAATTTTACATGCACACGAGATAGTCAAATGTATGTTATACGATATGATTATTGAACATTACTGTCGTTTAAAAGCACTGAGTCTATCTGTCACTCTAACATAATAATTTTAAATAATGTTCTCCACTGTTCCAAGTAAAAATATTTAACAAGCAACAGTTACTAAGTACTGCTGCTTGTCGTATTTAAAACTGTATTAACATATGTCGATTGCAAGCAGTAGTTTTGTTCTAATGCACTTGGGGCACGATGATTGTAGAATAATAATGTAAATAAAAAAATAACAGAGCAGTGCACTGAGACAATGGCAAAGCAATCGTGGAATGTATTGGTGACGGGTGGTGCAGGGTACATAGGTTCTCACACAGTGTTCGAACTGCTGCAAGCAGATTTTGGGGTGGTAGTAGTAGACGACCTTAGTAATGCTTATCGAGGTAAGAAGTGGAAGTAATTAAAATAATTAGTGTATCGGTCAATAGTATTAGAACTTTGTTTAATGCTTCTTCTGCTAACTGTTTAATTTATTCAATTGGTGTTGTGAAACAATCTTCATATATTTTTATGTGCAGCAGATAATGAGACGAAACCAGAAAGTCTATTGAGAATAGAGAAATTGACAAACAAAAAGGTGCCATTCTATTCCTGTGATATAAATAATTACAGTGACCTCAAAGATGTATTTAAGAAGGTATGATCGGAGTCTTCATACGACCTGAATGTTCTGTATTAAGAATATAATTAAAACGATTGTTTTAGAATAAATTTGACTCTGTCATACACTTCGCTGCTTTGAAAGCTGTGGGAGAATCGTGTGAAAAGCCTTTAGAGTATTACAAGACGAATGTCTGCGGGACGTTGAATTTATTAAAAGTCATGAGAGAGTTTAATGTGAAATGTTGCGTCTATTCGAGCAGTGCCACGGTTTATGGCACTCCGGAAAAATTACCATTAGTCGAGAATATGAAAACTGGTGACTGCGCCAATCCTTACGGGAAAACGAAGTACATGGTCGAAGAAATTTTGAAAGATCTCTGTGCCGCAGACAAGGTATTTACTCTTAGTATCATGTGTCACATTTAGAAGCATCGAATATTTATTACCGATCATTTTTAGACATGGTCTGTCATATCTTTAAGATATTTTAATCCAGTTGGGGCTCATCCCTCAGGACAAATCGGAGAAGATCCTACGGGAATACCAAATAATTTAATGCCGTACATCGCTCAGGTAGCAGTGAACAAAAGGGATGTTTTGTACGTTTACGGGAACGATTACGATACTCCCGATGGAACAGGTGAATGAACGTGCACATCATAAATCTGGGACAGTGGTGATCATTACTTCGTTCGTAGGCGTGCGCGATTACATTCACATCATGGATCTAGCCGCGGGCCACATAAAAGCAATGATCTATCAGAAAGATCGTAGCCGTGTTGGATTTAAGGCGATCAACTTGGGTACCGGCAGAGGCTATTCCGTGCTCGAGGTTATAAAAGCATTTGAGAAAGCGTCGGGGCGAAAGATATCATATAAAATAGTCGAGCGAAGAGCTGGAGACGTGGCTACCAGCTACGCAGATCCTAGTTTAGCTAAGAAAGAACTGGGCTGGCAAGCTACTAAGAACATCGACGACATGTGTAAGTTACATCACAAGAATCAACAGTAACTGGTAATGAATAATCGTTCTTCTTATATTATTCTAGGTATAGACGCGTGGAGGTGGCAGCGGAACAATCCGAACGGTTATATGTCTAAGAACTAGCATTTGTTACGCGAAACTTAAGTATTCTAAAGGGAACATTTCACTTATGCATTTAATCAGTTTAAACGTAAGCCATGGTGGTGTCTGGTTACCAAAGTTTAAACCAAAGACCAACGCAACGATTTATATATATATATATATATGTATATATATATTCCAAGTTGATTTTAACAAGACTTTTACATTCAATAATCATTGTTTACTCTTTTATATGAAACAATGTACCACGTATGAATGTTCTATCGTGCCATAGAATACGTTCCTACGATTATAGAAATGATTATTAATAAAGCAAATACTACAATAATAAAGTAAAAGATTAATCACAAGCGGAGAGCTCGTGATCTTCTGTATCTTTGCAGTTCTCCGAACATTTCCCATTTTATCAGCGGCAGATTCAAATCCACCGTCGGCTGCTGTTGCCGCACGGCGGAGTAAACGGCGGGGCGTGCTCGGTTGATTACGTCATAAGAGAAACTGATTTTCTACGATAGTCGGCCATATTGACTTGGGCGTAAGAACATCGAAAGCAGTCCCGTGCCCATTGCGTCGCGCTTGCAGTTCGAAGTAAATGGTGCATCGCCGTTGTTGGAGGAGTTCTCGGACCGGGTTGGATTTTCCATGAGCTACGACCGTCCCGTCGTTCGAGGGATCTGAAGATATCAAGGTAGGTAAACGAGTTTCGTCTGGACTTTAGGAAATGGTGCGAGTATGGGCCGTGGCCGCATCCAGCGTCGTCGCCCCGCGTTTCGACGTACCTGTTTCGTACTCGTAGTAGTCGTTTGTCGGCGGAATTGGAACAAGAGTTGTTTACGTGCTTACGGTAGAAGTTGATCCGTTAATCATTCGCGAGAAACAAAATCAGTGCTTTTTGCCTGTGTATCTACTCGATGACTGTACGTTTATCTATGATCTCATCCTGGGGCGCATTATTTATTTAAGAAAGGATCGCGTCAACATCCTGTAGGTGAGCTTACTAGTTTTCTGATTTCACTTATTGCACTACTCGATGTAACACGATTTATAGCCATTTGGTAGTACTGTGTCTACACTCGGTATCAATTACGATTTTAACAATTATCGAGATTACTTTCATTTAATAAGAAGCGGTTTACTCGCATTTGTACTACGAGTGTTTACACACAAGTTCATTGCATAAAATTGTTGTCTACCCATCGCGAACACTCTTAAACATTTCCAGCGAGAGAAGACATCGTTCGCGAAGCGGTGTGAGAACGTTTACTTACGTTCATCGAAACGTGTATTTGACATACTCCTACGTAGAGAGGTAATAATGTCACGTCTATTTAATTAACAATACACGGAAACGTCTGCTTGGTCCGGTTAATAGTGATTTCCGATGTTACTAACGCGTAGGTTCTATGTAGTTGCATGCACTTAGCGTGTTAAATTGTTATGAAATTGGACCGTGGAACGATTTTATTGTACGACGTTATTCAGGGATGCAACTGCATCCAAGAATTCCGGTGAGCAACGGAATCAATACAGTCAAGATCGAGCCGGGTGCATTCTTTGCGTGCCGTGTATCATATTTCATTGGAGGAACTATCGTGCATTCTCTCGCCGAGCGTGATACATAAATCGGGACGCACAGAATCTGCTGCAAACGACGTTACTTAAGGGAGAATCAGAATGCTTATACTGTCGCCGGGTCAGGAATGATTGATGCCGACGATTTATCTTCGTATCGTTTCACGTTTTCGCCTGCGACCCTCGGGGCAGAGTGCTTTTGCGAAGTGTGCCACACGCTTTTATGCCGAGCCGTACACCGCCGCTCTCTCCTTTTATATTCAATTCAACGAGGATGTTTCCAATTACTTATTGCACCTGAGAAACTGCCGCAAAGGGACCTCTGACAATAAGTCCAGACCCATTAGACATTCATTTTTCGACTCTTCGCTCGTAGAGATTGGATAATTGGTGCGATCACACCTTTTACGTGGTAGAAGCTTTCGACGTTTTTCCGGCGAGCACTCGTTACGAGCAATTAGGTCAATTATGTACTCTGTCGCGGAGAGACGCCAGCGTTTTTGAAAGATGCATCAGCTCGGTCTGGTCTCTGACCGCCTCCGCCGATCGATCGGACCTCTCCGTCGCTCATTTTTACGATTATTCCTGTAACGCGACAGCAGCACGCGAATACGCGTTTTAGAATCGTACTCGCTCGTTCCAATTTAACGAGAACACGGCATCAAAGAAATATTTCAATCATCCTAATCGTTTCAAGTTACGTAGCGGAGGCCGGGTAACGTGTACACAACCGGTCGTGAGTAGGTATACACCTTGGTCAATTTGTAGCAGTTCGTAAAGCGACGAATCGACGTTCACATGAATATCCATCTTTCCCTCGTGTTTTAGCTGATATACGAACCGGGAATAGGTGGAAGAATGGGTACTCTTCGTATCGCAGTGTAAACCGATTGTGTACCCAGGATTATTACCGCAAACGGTGCACAGCCGTTAAACCAGGGCAAGGAAGTGTGCTTGCGATGCGTACGTAGGTGTGGCGTTGATAGATGATGCACGACACGGCTGAAGCTACAATGAACTTGGGTAGAATCGAGTTTACACACCGTTACAACGGCGTATAACTTATCTTCCTCGAAGGACGGTGCACGCTCGTGAACTGTGACACGAGTACCGCTCGAATATTCTGGCCTGTTACCTCGTGCAACCCGAAATCAGGATAGATGGCAATTAAACTCCGTCCCCTCGGGAATTTGACTCGAGGATTTCTAACGTGATACATTTATGAACTCGATACCGTTCACGGCTATTTAATTGCTGGATTTAAATTAAACCTTCGTAGTAGGCGCGGGAGGAGTTTCGCACCTGTTAGCGTAGTACGCGTTATAGTAAACGCACTCCAGTCGATTCACGGAAATATAATTGCCGGTGTACTTATACCTGGCTTCCGCAGAGTGATCGCCGGAAGTATCGACGCGAAAGAAACTCGTAAGATATAGTGTAAGCATTAACACGAGGCGTGGTTGCGACCGTCACGTGCTCCACCGCGTTGCGATTAGAATCACATTAGCGATCGGCTCGAAACGGACCTTCGCATAATCTGCGATAGTATTCGGAGCAGTGTGATGCATATGCAAATGCATCCTGTTAATCGCATACTATTTCCGGCCGTCGTTACTGCGGATTCACGCCTTTCTTCGCGTTCACGGCGCTCGTCATTTCGCCGATTGATCACGTGTGCAAGTAGAACCGCAGGTGATTTCTTTTTTCACTTTTTTCTGTTTCCACTCTCGTGACCGCCTGCCGCATCTAATCGCCGAGCGTGTTTTCTACTCGACGAATCCCCCGCTATGCGTTTATTATTTCTTATCACTCGGCAGAACGTGAACCATATTTTTGCACTTTCGTTTCCAGCGGAGAAAGGGTATCGAGATCGGGGCAAGAGGCTCGGCGATGTTATTCGCGAAATTCCGGATAGATACGTACTACTGAGGGATTCGAGGCGCACCGAGAACGTCGAGCGATTTAACCGTGGAAAACCAGAGCGGCAATAACGGCTGGCCTCGCGGTGTAACAGCGTATCGCTGCGTTACGGTAGGCCACGGCCTATTATCTCAGTTTACGCGGAGAAAAAAGGTGCTCGTAAAAACTGGCCATTGTCATTGAACCAAACCACTGCCACCGGTAGAAATGAATAGCACAGGAAAAGGAACGGTTCACGATTTGCCCGCGTTTGCTTCTGTTCTCTCGATGAAAACCCGAGCGCGATTGGAATTTAAAGAAACCGGTTTTTCTACGTCTTTTCCTTGGATGTTTGCAGTCCCGGCCCAGCGGGACTGGTATCGATTTTCTTTTTTAAAATTATTACGCCGGATTTACCGTAGAACCGATCGCTTCGAATCTCCGAGTATTTAACGACGTTGTAAATTACTAAGTTACACGTGAGTCATCGAGCACGCGATGCACGGTAGAAGTGGTTTTATACGCTTCGGTCGTTGACGAGCTCTCGAGCTTTTAATTTTACGTGCACGTAACAGCCCCCCTCTGAACGCTCGTCGACGAATCCTCGTGTAAAAATACGCGAGGGAGTCGTACCGCGTTTAATTAGAGTACAACCACTCCCCAGTCTCGCCGATTCGTTAATCGGGCTCGGTTCGGATCAACTGTTAGCTCTTTTGCATTTTATTTGTCGACAAAGCGAGGAGATCCACGTGTCACACGATCGTTCGCAAAGTGCGTGAATTCGTTCTCGACGCAGGAGTCGGAAGAGTTCTGGTCGGTGAAATTTTCGTGGATGGTTTTTATAGCTTTCAGCCCTTTAATTTCACGCATCAAAGAATCCTCGTCACCCTCTCTGACCGTCGCCTCTCGCTCGACTCCTGCCGTCTCACCCCGTCGCGATTTCTGCCATTGAGACTCGCGACAGAGGAAGACCCGCGTTCAACGTCGCGATGAAAGAAAGGGTTGAACGAGGGAAAAGGGAAAAACCCGCGTGGAACCCCTTGGTTCGTCGCGACGCGTCTGCACGGCGCCCGATAAAAACTGTCCCAACTCGCGTTACCCGCCCCTTCAACCGAGTGAATCGACCGTGGAGTAAATCTCTGTCTGCGCTTATACCAAAGTTCGACCCTCGCGAGAACGAGCGCCGATTCTTTTTATTCCATCCCCCGTGGAATTTCGCCTGCACCAGAATTTTCACGCGCGAGATATTTACTCTTGTCGTTCTCGTGCCTCCTCATAATTTCTCGTTGACGCACAGGGAATACGAAATTTAATACGAATGTGTAATTATTCGTTTCATAACTCGATGACCCGATCCACGAGCTTCGCCCCTGTTTCGATCGTCGTCTCTTGGTACGGGCTGAAAAATTGTCAATCCGCATGAACGTCGATCGATCAAACATACCCCCAGGGGCCGATGCTTACCCCTTGCATATCTCTGGAAGAGCCGAGTGGATTTTCATCGGTTTCGTACGAGCATGACGTAGGAGTACACACGAGGGATTTAAATGCCACGGTCCGACGAAGTGTTTCATTCACGTACGAACCACCACCACCACCACCTGGCTGGCTGGGTTAATAAACCTTTGTCGCGCATGCATATGCGAAGCTGGCTCGCTTTCTGACCATCGCGCTTCGCGCACTTCCGTGGTCGTAGCTTGCAGAATAAGGGTTTCGCCGATCTGCTAACCGCGTTCCATTGGTTCGGTTCTTTGATACTCACGAGCAACGTATAGGCAATTATCATCGAAACCCTTTACCTCTTCTCAAGATTTTCATTTAGAACTCTTCCTCTGAACGCAATCGAATAAATCAGAGCCTGGCAACAAGCCAGGATCTCGATCTCTGTTTCTCGGATGCGTTTCGTTTCTGCGCTCTATCTCAAGAGGTATGAATTCATTCATTACAAACGACGGTCGTTTAATGCAGCCCGAGGACGAGTCTCGTATCCACGTAGGTTCACCGAGAAGAGAGCGTATACGCGATGCGGCGTGGGCGTGTGCCGTGGATCACGCGACCCTCGTTCACAATGAGCCCTTTGACATACGACCAAACGAAGCCCACGCGTCTCTGAAAGGATCTCCGCGTGGCGTCGGTGGAAAAAAAAAACGAAGCGGATTCTTTCAGACCGGCTCCGGTTCATTCAGCGAGGCTTTTAAACTTTCAGCTGACCCGTTAGCGAAACAAGACGATCGACCGGTTCCTTCTACGTGTGTCTCTCGCGGAATCGAGTTCTCCCTCCGTTTCAAGTTTCCGATGTCTCTCTCTGATATCTATCACGGTACCGATCGCGGTCTGATGCGGTTTCAGGCGCCTTTCTTATCTATTATTAACGGAGTATCGGCGAAGCTTCGTTTAATCTGGAATTACGATCCTACGTCGGGCCAAAGTTTCGATATCGAGACAAAATCTGATTACAACCTCTCTATCAGTTTTCAGACGTCGAAACCAGTTTTCGAACGAGTTACAGTTAATACGATAAGTAGACGAGTCGCACATGCTACGTGACGCGTCATCCTGTCTACTAATCGGTACATTACTTCACCGACGTGGAAAAGAGCAAGGCTGGTTCCAGCGATGACGGCATCAGACCGATCGAACTCACGTTTTATAAAATCCAACGTGATCTTCACCGACATATAAATTTGACCTCCGTGTAATTTCAATTAACACACTGCGTACCGCATAGAAATTTCTAAGACATACGCGAGGTACCGTACGTTTCTGGCAAACTGCACGTTATTTAAAACATCATAACTGTGTTGTATACCAACGATATTTAGTATTGAACCCCTTCCGGTAAAATGATGAGTCTAACTCGTCATTGGGATTGTATGAAACTTGAGAGACATTGAAGAATGATTCATTTAACGATGCATTGGCTATATAATCAATCCCAAAAGTTTATGTACCTTAGAAAAACGCATTTCTTACAATTAGAAAGAAATCAGACGTCGGAACAACAATGCTAATAATAAATAGCTACGTGCTAAAAAGTATAGAGGGAAATATCCAATTAATTATTGACGATAGCGAAAAGTTTATTATACAGAAATTGTAGGCACTGATGTCCTCTACAAGAAAGATTCTATGTATTTCTCTTCTAAGTTGAGTATTTAACGAGTTAAGTATGATTATTTGGCATTTTATTCATGTTGACAAAATCCGACCATCCGAGCGTCGAAACGGCGAACTTTTGAAGAAAAATTTTGTTTTTCCTCAATAACTCCTAAACCGTTGGACCTACGGGGAAATTGCATAGGACCTTTCTTGTAGAGGACGACGAGATCTATAATTTCCATGTAAAAGTTTTGCGCTAGCATTAATATTTATCGAGTTATTGACGAAAAACGAAAAAACAGTTTTTTGCAAATAACTCGTTAACTATCGACGCTAGCGAGAACTTTTTATATGAAAATTGTAGATCTCGTCGTCCTCTACAAGAAAGGTTCTATAAAATTTTTCCGTAAGTCCAGCGGTTTGGGAGTTATTGGCAAAAAACGAAAATTTCGCAAAATCTGAAGGGGTACCCCTTGGAAAAATCTCGGAAAAATTGAAAATTTTTTTTTGTTGTTTATTATTAGCAATGTTCTTCCGACGTCTGATTTCTTTTTAAAAAATGCGTTTCTAAAGTGCATAAACTTTTGGGATTGACTGTGTAGCCAATACATCCTTAATGTTACCGCAAGGTTGTATTGTAAGTTAATCAAGCTTATATACTACAGAATACAACGACTGCAGGTCTGTGGAAATATAGGGGTATTTATCAAAGGACCTGTTGTGTGTGTGTGTGACCAATAGTCTTTCAAGCTATCTTTTCTTTGACCCATCAGAATAATTAGGCCAGAGAATTTCTTGATGTCCTTCTGCGTAAGCGGAGACCACTTTAGTGTTATTATGTTTTGCGTTTCCAACTTCTAACACCAATGAGATCGTTTCATTCGATGGGGATAAGACAGTGTGTTGATATTTAAAGTCCGTAATAGATAGCGCGAGAAAAACAAGAAAACTAGTGAGTAGTACGCAATATATTAGTATGATCTCCTGATCGCGATGAGGGAATCGATAGTTCGATATGAGAAGTTTATCAAATCGTGTTACGGTTACAAAAGCTGTACCTTTTCTATTGAATCGTTGCGCAACGCGGCAGCGTTCCGCAGATTTTATGTAATTACTCCTTTGTCGGGATCGCGGGTGGTTGCGCGGCCACGTAACGAGATATTCGGCCGTAATTGAACGTCAAACCGTGGTTTCCGTTTAATATACACGCGGGCGTCTCCTTTTGTACGCGCTTCTCGATAAAAACTGCCGGGAATCACGGCGAGTCGCGTTTTTCCGGTTGGTTCTCTCGCTGTACGCGATGGTATTTCCAGCGACCAACAGCGTCCCGGCATGCCTCTGATTCCACGCAATTCAGGTGGAATTACTATTTGCTACCCGTGATTGCGTAAAGGTCCGTATTCGAGCCGCTTTCGCGTGTCGATTTGAATAAGCAGACTCGACGAACTGCGTCGGTCAGGGTCGCGCTTATGTCACTCCCCGGCTATTTTTGATCCGCAAAATCGAAACCTGAATTTCGAGGAATTCCTATGCCACGATATTCCTTTCCTTTAAAACCGTTCCCCGAACCCTTCGAGGAGAAGAGGCCAGCCGCGATCGATTGTAAAACGTGCCGGTGCTTTTTTTATAACGTCTTTATCTCGCTCGATAGCGGTGTATTTTGATCATCGCCGACATTATAAATATCGCCGTTTTATTGACTCCGTAACGAGACATCGCTCTTCTCACTCGGTGTATACGTTCTGTCTGTCCGTCTGTCTCGGCCAACGACCTGCGGTAAATGCACACACGTGCCTCTCCGTACGTAACTGCGACCTGTCCTCAAACTTCTTACGAAATCGTCCTACCACTGTTCTCTACGCGATGTTGCTCTTGAACGCTCTACAGATTAAATCTTTTGCTCTTTCGTCCAAGTGAAAGGAACATACGAGGATACGTGGTAAACCTACCATTGCAATAAGAGTAAATCTCGCGAATACTATGTTCTTCGCCCGTAAACAAGGTCTGACGTACACGCGATAAGAATCCGCGAATATTACGTTGACTCAGAACGAGAGGTTTCGTTAAGTAAGGTATAGCTGGTGTCGGGTTTCACTCTTCGGAGTGCACCCCAAGATTATTCCGTATGTGAAATGAACATATTTAACGTAGATCCTACTTAGCTCTCCACGGTACCTTTCCTCGTTAATGAGAAAGGAGTGCTTTATGACCGGGGGTAACTCGAAGAGACCCGGTAAATATTGATTATTTTTCTACGCGGCACCTTCCAGTCTAGACAGGATCTATACTCGTACACGCTGAACCGACGCGCGACTTTTCTTTGTAGTCAGCGATTGAAAAAGCACTTGTATTTGTAGGAGTTATTGACCAAGCAATTAACGTTTTCGCGCCTGAAGAGTGGAAGACGTATACACACGAGGTATTAACGCGTTGCATTGTTTTGGCACAGGGCTGAGATATGCCGGAGGAACAGAAGTCGACTGGTGGCCCGCCAGAAGTAACTGCGGAAAATGGGACCAACTCGCCCACGAAGAGTCCGGTCAGCAAAGGCAAGACGGCAATCGCGAGAGTCACTCTCCTCGATGGAACCGTTAAAGACTTCCATGTAGACGTAAGCTAGCCGTTACGATGAACGCAGTACGAAAGAACGTTTGTTCGGCAGGTTAACGAGAGATCGATCTTGTTTCAGAGAAAGGCGAAAGGTCACGAATTGCTCGACACGATATGTCAGAGTATGAACCTACTGGAAAAAGATTACTTCGGTCTCATTTACGAAGACAGACACGATTCGCGAAACTGGTTAGACCTAGACAAAAAGATTGCCAAGTTCGTGAAAAGTATGTCACTTCTCATCGTCTCAGACTACTTCACCTGATGCTTATCAAAATTAATTTATATTCGTGTCCGCAGACGAGCCTTGGAAGTTTAATTTCGAGGTAAAGTTTTATCCACCGGACCCGGCTCAATTACAAGAGGACATTACGCGTTATCAGCTTTGCCTTCAAATTAGAAACGACATCATCACGGGACGATTGCCGTGCTCGTATGTTACTCATGCTCTTCTAGGTTCATATTTAGTTCAATCGGAAGTCGGTGACTATGACCCGGAGGTACACGGTCATACATATTTAAAGGACTTCAAGTTTGCCCCGAACCAGACTCCAGAGTTAGTGGAAAAAGTAATGGACCTGCATAAGACGCATAAGTTAGTCACGTCTATTAGTTTAGCGATCCTACCGCGTGCAATTGTAATTCACTTCCGAGGAGCAGTCAGAGTGACCGTTGCCTAATTCACAGGGGTCAAACACCCGCGGAAGCGGAACTGCATTATCTTGAAAATGCGAAGAAGTTAGCCATGTACGGAGTAGATCTTCACACCGCTAAAGACTCGGAGGGCGTCGATATAATGTTAGGCGTATGTTCGTCGGGCCTCCTCGTCTACAGAGATCGGTTACGAATCAATAGGTTCCCTTGGCCGAAGATACTGAAGATCTCGTACAAGAGGCATAACTTCTATATAAAGATCAGGCCGGGCGAGTTCGAGCGATTCGAGTCGACGATCGGTTTCAAACTGGCCAACCATAGGGCGGCGAAGAAGTTATGGAAAGTCTGCGTGGAACATCACACCTTCTTCAGGTGAGCTGTCCTTCTCGTTCGATCGAAAACTATTGTCGAGGCGCGATCGAGCATGATGATGTTTCCAGGCTCATGAGTCCGGAGCCTGTTAAGAAAGTGGGCCTTATACCGCATTTAGGTTCCCGTTTCCGATACTCGGGACGAACTCATTACGAGACGAAAAAGACTCCTATCGATAGACAACCTCCGCAATTTGAGAGATCGTTGAGTGGCCGCCGCCCTACGTCTCGCAGTATGGACGGTAAGAGAATTCATTAAATTTAATTTAAAGCTCGACGCGAACGATGTTATGTCGACGGTTTCCATCGAGAGGTCAAGATTTTGACAGATCGTTTACGCTTTGTACAGCACTCGGAGGTCCGAAGCAAGTTGAATCTTACGGTTCAGAGCCGAGTAAGAGGCACACGATGAGCTATGAACCGGAAATGATTCCCGACATGGAGCACATAGATCAGCGGCCTAGTCCAATTAAAAAACAGAAGGAAAAGGTAAAAGGGAACATACGTATTACGATGATAGTTGGTAGGGGATGCATGAAATCATCATGCGAAATAAAGATGATCGAAAATTCATTATGGAACGAATACTTCTGCGGTCTACGCTTTCAAACAAAACGATTTTTGAAATTTTGATGGTAGTTCATCCAATTGATCACCTATATATAACGACATTTTTTACATGCTGCAAGAATAATGCTACGATACGAAGAAATTGTAGAACACCAATTGGATCACTTAAAGATCTTTTACAAAATCATTATGCACTATTTTTCAAATTAAACAAACAATGTTCGTAGCCATGGCATGTTAAAACTTCTTGTGTGCCATGTATTAGATATAGTTGTATGCATTAGATATTCCTATTTTCAAGTTATCAGTACAAATTCAACGATTCGCATGCAAGTTAATTAATACAATGAACGTGAAGTCGACAGTTCGATGAACAGATCGGAATAGCCTTGATTAATTAATTTGCATTCGTTGACATATGAGATGGACTCGAATTTTTGCAAGAACGTAGAGACACGTAGATTTTTCTCGGGATTCGAACACGAGACGTTTGTATGCGATCATTTAATGTCACTTGAACTTGAATTCAATATTCATGCCCCAGTGCTCTGAGCATAAAATGAAACTAACTGACACCTGACTAACACCGGTAGCTCACACGCAAAACAAGTGCCGGAACAACATCAGCTAGCAGTACCAGTAGCCTGGAAGGAGAGTACGATGCAGATCGTGGCAAAAAGGTATAGAATTTCACCTGGAAACATACTGTCATGCATATACCTCCGCCGTTGTCGTGTATCAATCTGCGTGATCATTTGGTGTTTTCTTTTTTTTCGGATGCATGTCGCTACCCCTTTTTCTTTATTTACTCTTTCGCAACCATACGGCCATCGCCTCAAAGCGCTGAACTATTGAATTTTACCAAATTCCATTCACTACTTTTACAAGCATGCGCGAATATAAGCAAAAACATTTGAACCGCTCCGATGCTTATGTTTCGCATGCACAATAATCATCACATGATATCATTAATGAAAATGAGAGACGTCCAAAGAAACGTAACGGTTCACTGGGTACACTGTACAGGAAAGTATCACGACTAACAAATCGAGCAATGATATTTTTTTTGAGAGCGCAGACCGTACCTATATAGTTGTAAAGCATGAAACGTACGCCGGGAGAATGTGTAAAGGAACATGTAGTCTACGATAGCTTAGTGATTAGAGCTGAATCGTGCTTATTGCATGATGCGATGTGTGACCATAAATTTACTTATAGAAACCGGTCGGAGGGATCGCGGTCCTACCGCCCGGTGGTTTATCCAAGAAGAAAAAGGATAAGCAAAACGAGAACGAGAGGGAGAATCATAATGATCTAAACAACTCTGATTTAATAAACGAAAACGCTATTCTTGACAACAGCAGCGCGAAGTCGCCGAGTAAGAAGGAGTTGAAGAAGAAGGAAAAAGAAACGCCCGAGAAGAAAGATAAAGAAAAGAAAGAGAAAATAAAGGTAAGTGCGTTATTTCGCTATCTGTATGCCGGCTTAATATAATTAGCGAGAGAGAGTATAGTTCATCGTATAAGCTTGTCTCTGGTCAACGATTTCCATGCACAACGAAATAAAAATTTTATTCTTTTTCCGATGAATCTCGTAAATATATTTTGTGATCGGGACACATGGTCGTGCACGGTTGTTAAAAAGAACGAGTACATACAGCTTTTATTAGTTTCTTTGCAATACATTTGTAAAAATGAAATGTACTAGATATACAGCATGTCTTTGGTATTGCATGTTTTTGATTAACACAAAAGAGTCCAATCGGCGTGCTCACGTTTGGCAAGAAGGACAAAGATGACAAGAAGAAGAAGCAGAAAAAGGGTAAAGGGCCAGACGAATCAACGGACAAAAGCGACACGGAATCGAACTTGTCTACGTCAGAAAAGAAGCAGCCTCCGTCCGAAAAACCGAGCACGGAACAGACGAAAGCCATCTCGGGATCTCCTCAACAACCCAGTTACACGAAACCCTATGATTACGAAGAAACGGAAACCTCTCCAACGAAAAAACCTTTCACTCCGCATGGATTTTCGTACGAAGACAGACCAGCGTCTCCGGAGGTTCAGAATCAACGGTCACCGACCGGTGAAAGTCGGAAGGCTACAGGATTGGCTTTCAATTACGCCCCGGGCGAAGAGAAGAAGGTAGCCGAGTCAGCGGAGAAGAGGAAGACCAAAGACATCGACTCGAAGCCGCCTTCCGGATTGAAGACTCCTGGTTTGAATTATGTGGAGTCCGCTGGATTGAAGGAACAGCAGAAAGCTTTAGCGAAACCAGGCGCCAAACCGGACGATAAGAGTACGTCAGCCGTTTTGATCGCAGCTGAACAACAACATCAAGGTGCTAATTACCAACCGACCGTGGCTCAACCGCCCGCCGCAGATGCCAAGCCGGAATACCACATCTTGCCGCTCCCGGATGGTTCCAAGGTGATCGGAGGTGTTATTTATACCAAAGACGGTAAATTGTTGGATCAAAGCAATCTCGGGCCGGATAATAGTAAGATAGTGAATGGGAAAGTGTGTTCCAAGGATAGTAACCCGATTAAAAAATCCGAATTCGGCCCGCACGGAATTTATATTAATAACGGATTAATTACAACGAAGGATGGGAAACCGGTGAGTCAAGAGATTTTGGGCGTGGAAAGGAATTTTATCAGAGATGGAATCGTGTATGGTTCTAACGGACAAGCAGTCGACCAATGTTTCTTGGGCTTGGAACACGCATCAGTGAAGGATGGTAAAATCGTAGGAAAGAATGGAAAAGTGATACAATACAATAAGCTAGGCTCCGATGGAACGTACATAAAGGATGGTCTCATATTCTCGTCCAATGCGAAACCACTTACCCAAGGATCGTACACGATAAACGGGAGCTATGTCGTCGCGGGAGTAGTCTGCGACGAAAATGGAAGACCATTGCATCAAATTGCTTTGATACCCGACGAAACTTACATCTACGATGGGTTAATTTGCGGTACAAACGGCAGTCCAATTTCTCATGGTATTTTGGGCCATGAGGGACACTACATAGCCGAGGGAAAAGTCTATTCGAAAGAAGGTAAACCGGTCAAGCACGAATCTTTCAGCTCGGATGGCTCCGCGATAAAAGACGGTATAATTTATTCGAAAGATGGCAAGTTTTTAAATCAGGGTTCATTATTACCTTGCGGCGCTTATTTGAAAGACGGCAAAGTCGTCAGTAAAGATGGCAAGTCGATCAAGCACGCGTTCTACAAACCCGATGGGAGCTTTATAAAAGATGGTATCTTGTTTGGCAAGGATGGCAGGCCTCTGAGTCATATACCTTTGATAGCTAATGGAAGCTTCATCAAGGAAGGCGTCATGTACGATAAAAGCAATAAACTGCTGTCGCAAAGTCTTTTTAAACCTAATAATATCGTTATTAAAGACGGAATCATTTATGACGCAAACGGTGTAATAGTGTCCGATGCTTTTCTTGGCCCGGACGGCTCGACGATAAAAGACGGAATAATAATTGGAAAGGATGGTAAACCTGTTAAACAAGAATCTTTCGATTCGAATGGGAGTTACATAAAGAAAGGAGTGATCCATGCGAAGAATGGAAAGCCTCTTAATCAGGACTCTTTGGTACCCGAAGGGGCATCGATCAAAGACGGTAAAATATACAATAAGGACGGCAAAGTCCTGAAATTTTCGTTCTTCAAACTAGATGGAAGTGTCGTGAAAGATGGTCTCGTGTATGCCAAAGACGGTAAACCATTGAATCTCTGCTCGGCACTTTCGGAAGATAGCTTCATCGCGAACGGAGTGATCTTCAATCACAACGGGATGCCCGTGTCTAAAGATATGTTTGGTTCTGATGGTTCGTACGTCGCTGGTGGCATAATTCACAACAAAGACGGCAGGATAATATCCGAAGGTGTCTTCGGGCCTGATGGAAACGTCATTAAGAACGGACTGATCGTGGCCAGCGATGGAAGGCCGTTGACTCAGGACGATAAAGGACCGGATAACATAGCCGTGAAGGATGGAAAAATTGTGGATGATCAAGGGAATCCGAAGAACATGGCATCCATCGTTCCAGATGGATGTTACATCCGAGACGGTGTCGTTTACGACAGAAATCAATGCCCCTTGAAACAAGGAGCGTTCAAGCCCGATGGAAGTTACATCAGAGACGGTCTTATATACGGATGGGGTGGGAAACTACTTAACAGCGGCAGCGAACTCCCCGTTGGAAGTTACGTGCAAGAAGGTAGAATCTACGGAAAGGACAAACAACCGCTGGAGCACAGTTCCTTCGGCATGGACGGAGGCTACATCTCTAATGGATACGTTTACGGGAAAGACAAACAGTTGCTAAGCCACGGATTGTTCGGTAACGACGGTAGTTGCATAAAGGACGGATCGTTGTACGGTCCCGATGGGAAACCGCTGAATCGAAAGCAAACTGTAATGTTTGTCACGCTCGTTCGTTACGGTTTGATCTGTGACCGCGACGGTAAGCCATTGAAATCTGGTCATTTCGATGAGGATGGTAGTATCGTCAAGGACGGAAGAATTTACGATCGATCCGGTCAACCCATGTCTCAAACTTCTTATAGAAACGACGGAAGCTACATAAAGGATGGTTTCCTTTACACGAGCAATGGGAAACCGCTGTCTCAAGGTAATCTACCACCCGAGAACAGTTTCATTCGAAACGGAAAAGTCTTTGACTCGAACGGGCAACCGTTGACGCAAGAGGCATTCGGTCCGGAAGGCTTGAGAGTGGTGAACGGAGTCGTAGTGGATAAAACTGGGAAACCTTTGAAGCAGGCAGCTTTTGACGGTGAAGGCAATGTTGTGAAGGACGGTTTCGTTTGTACATCGGCCGGAAAGCCACTGGATAAGTATTACACGGTGATCACCATCACTTTGGTTCGCAACGGCCTCTTGTGCGGTAAAGATGGAAAACCGGTGAAGCAAGCACCGTTCGGAAACGATGGAAGCTACGTTAAAGATGGAAAGATTCACGATAAATTCGGCAAGTTGATGAATCAAGAGATTTTCGGAGACGAAGGAGCGTATCTGAAGGACGGCGTTGTACTGTCTAGTACCGGGCAACCGTTGGACAGCGACACTATCCTGAAGGATGTGCAGGACGTGACAAAATCGATCTCGAAAACGAAGAAAGCGTTGGCCACTGCTCCGACGATCGTGAAAACCACGACGAAGCAATCGGTGGTAAAGGACCAAGACGGTGTAACGCAGAACATCGAAGAGAAAGTCGAGGATCTTACTCCTGGAGGCACGGGCCAAGTAACAGTCTCGACGCAGCTTAACAAGGTGATACTACTTTTGAAATAATATCAGTTGTTAAAATACGTAGCGATATAAATAACTGGTTCGCTGAGTGTAAGGTAAAAAGATGATATAGATATCAGAGATTGTAGAAGCTTTTCGACAGTTATTTTTTATTGAGAAACCAGTATTATTTTTTACGATGTTTATCGTAGATGTTGTTATGTGATACTTAGTCGTTGAGTGTTCAAGTATTGCATGAAGTAAATATGTTGTTATAAATGCAGTTTCTAGACGAGCAAATTTACGATCATCTTGAAACCAGTGCATCAAAGATGAAAGAATAATTCTATACCATGATTCTTTATATTATTATCGCTTTATTACGAGACGTTAGTTATCTTGTAGTTGTATTTAGGCAGAGGCAACAGACGATGGTAGAGCCCCGTACATGACAGCGACTGCTGTTACGACACGTACCGCTACGATGCACGAGGATCTTGAAAAAAATCAAAAGACGAGCCAGGTTCGTGATTCATTACGTACTTATTCATTTCTCCAGAAATTTGAATCGCTTAGAGCTCGTCATGTATACACTTTGAATTCACCCGTGATACGATCAACGCGTGATCTCACAGGAACGTAGAATTATTTTTGTATGTATTTTTTTTTATATCAGGTAGAGGAAAAGACCGTAGCGCACACGACAGCGACCAGTGCGACGAGACAAGAGCAGAGAGTAGTGACCCAGGAAGTACGAACAACGAGCCACGTGCTGTCCGGTGAACAGGTAACGATTCGTTTAGAAGATAAATCTAATAAAAGCATACGAAGCTCACCCCTAATGGACGTAGCATGTAAGCATTTATATGAACAGTCACACGAAGTGTATCCTAACATTCAATCATCGAAGTGTATTATCGTTATATATATATATATATGTACATGCCAGTCGCATTGTTGGAAGTTCGCATAGCGTCACGAGGCTTATGATTTACCCAGTAATACGTACATTTTATTCGATTTTACGAATAAAAATCATATGCACATTCGATATACATATCACAGAATCATACGAAGGGATTACAATTTCTATTTAATAATGCATCCATAATACTTAACTCGGTCGATTAATAAAGTTTAACAAACATCATTCTCATTTGACTTTTTTTATTTTTTTTTTTTTATTTCTGTAATTAATTTCGCTGGCTTGGTTAACACATTGCATGGTGTAGCTGTTCAAACGAAGGCTCAGTACGTCCAGTTCGAGCAGCGACGATTCAGGTACACCAATTGACCTCGAAGACGATCAGCAGGCTTTCTACAATCAATACTATCAGGTAAATTCGATGGGGATCAATTATACCGAATTAGGAAATCACGAAAATTCAAAGCAGTTAGAGAGTTTAGTTCTGAGGATGAATCTCCGTCAAGGTACACGTTCAAGTATGTCGCGAACGAACGGGAGTCGTCGAAGATACACTGTATATTTAATACTCGGACCACGTTAATAACTTAATGCTTATCATGTAATATGGGCAGTTTAATAATACTTATTAAGTCGTAAGCACTGGTTTTGAGGTATTAATCATTAATCAGCAAGGGCTTTAATATTTTAAACAATGCTTTGGTTCTTGCATTAATATAACTGTACAACGTTGAATCACCACATTGACGTAGAATGTGGAACACATATTGTTCAACTGTAATTAAGGATTACTGTAAGCAGTAATTATCGTGTAAATGTACTTTAGGGTGAACCAGCCAGCATTGAAACAGAAACGCACGTGTACAAAGAGGGACCAGAAAATAACGTGGCGAGCACTACCACTGTCCCATTGACAGCGACCGAAACCAGGAAGGTAGCTGTTGAGAGTGACGATGGTATGTACAGTGCGACTGGAGAAATAGTCAGTTCTCAGACGATATCCAGTAAAACGCGCACTGTCGAAACGATAACGGTAAGAGTCTACGTTTAGACCGATCGAATCGAACTGAATTGGGAAGTGGACGAATAATTTTCTTACACGTCGATCATTCTTTAGTACAAAACCGAGAGAGACGGAGTCGTGGAAACTCGAGTAGAACAAAAAATAACGATACAATCGGATGGAGATCCGATCGACCATGACCGAGCGTTGGCAGAAGCGATTCAAGAGGCGACCGCTATGAACCCTGATATGACGGTGGAGAAAATAGAGATTCAACAACAGACCGCACAGTAACGTATTGCAAACATCTAACATGGTCAAGTTATCTCTGAAATAAAGGGCACTCTTCATCTAAAAGATAAAAACGCTGGTGATTCGATGATGAACGATGTAGAAAAATTGATATAATTGATACACATTGTTTCTTATGAAAAATATGATTGTACGATGTGTTACGAGCTTGAATTCGATTGAAAATCGAGTTATTATAGAAAGAATATTGACGGTACCTCGTACCATAAACTGCAGTGTTCATATTCCGTGTATGTATTGTCTACAGAGAGACACGTGTATGTATGCATAGAGATGTATGTACGTAGACGAGGAAAGAATTTAATTATAGTTAAAAGAAAGATAAGAGTGCCCTGAATTATAGCGAACATGTTTAAGTGATATCTCATAATTAATCCGCTGATTTGAAATTGATTAAAGCGATGCCCAATACTCGCGATATCGGGAATTTAGTTATCTCTAATTTTCTATTTTGAACAACTTCATCTTCGAGCCTAATGTAAACCAAAAACACAGAAAAACTATTAAAAAAAAGTTGATTACTCAAAAGTACGTAACTATATTATTAAATATGCGTCTCGAAGTACACGAGTACAGTATATTATAAATATAAATGAATATATATATATATATATATATACATGATTTGTATGGATTTAACCAGATGGAAAGTAACAGTGCAAAGATTTATAATATGTAAGTGAGAGAGGATGCACAGTAAAATTCGTTGATTACGCTTCGTGCGATTTACCTGTAGCTTCTCTGCAATATAATTTCCTTTTGTATAGATCAATTATATTATTTGTGAGATACTTTCTTCAAAACTGATGCTGTATAATGTTTAATTGTGTGACAAAGTCAGAGTTCGCTAAGTACGAAGAATATTAATATATACATTACAAGAATATATAGATACATGTAACAAATATTTACGATTAATCGACGAAGAGATGAGTCTACAGGGTTTCCGAGAACTTTTTAGTATTACTACGTTCAGCAAAGCGAAACGGAATAAAGCTAAGGCGTTATCAGTACATCGTTTATTTAATAATTTAAATTTACGAGTCTCGAAACTGTGTAGATTCGTTAGAATTAAATATAATTCAAAGATGATAACATTAATACGATTAATATTAATAAGCTAAAGAATTATATGTATGTATAACTTCATACCAAGAGCTACGATGCATTGGTCAGCGTATATGTCTAAATTTAGCTGTAACTTTTGTAGTTCTTAAGACTACAAGTTGGTATAAGATTATCTCTTTCGTTCAATAGTTTATTTAACTTTTTGTATGAACAGAACACAGAAATACTGGTAAGAAGGAGGAAAGGCTGAATAATCCTGAATTTAACGATAAAAAATGATTAAGAACGCAAGCTGTACTTTGCAAGAGACAAAGCTATATAAATTATATAAAGTTATAAATATTAAAATACATCTGCTGCTTCGTATATTTGTGTATGAACAGTATATAATTATATATACATATATATATATTGTACATGCGGCAGTTATTAAGCAACATTAACATGTGCATATCACACCGTAGGAGGCTTGGTTTATACCTTTGTTCTTTCGGGAGATCGTTCAAACGTACGCTTGCATTTTGCACAAAGCATTTATTTCACGTATTAACGACGAAAACATTTTTTACTTTTCTACATTTTACACGAGTCGACGTGACGAGCTAAATAAAACGTTTATACATACATTAGTTTTGTAGCGGTTTACAGTCTTTATTACGACTCGTAAATTTCTCGGAGTCAGTATTGTTACATCGTATTATGTCAATTCACGGAAGGATCATTAAAGATTACGTGGAACAAAGGGTAATCACTGACCATCTACGTGCGAGTTGCATTTCGTTTTCTATGTTATAATTTTGTTATACGCTGGCAGCTGATTAACTGTTTTCGATTCATTAATCTCATTTAATTGATAGCGTTAGTACACAGTTTATAAAACATGCTCAACCACTCGATTAGTTACTTTCCATTTCACTTGCGAGCAACTTTTATATACATTTCGTAGACCGATGTTTGTGTCTCGATATTATAAGAGAGAGAGGGAGAGAGAGAGAGTAAAATTACGATGAAGAACAAATTTATTTTCTACTTGTACCTTTTTATACACCATATAATTCCATAATTTATAATAAGATATTTTTCTTTTTTATTGTACCTAACATTCCATGCTTATAGTAACTAACACATGTGTATATATATATTAATTATTATAAATGCCTGTGTCATTTAAGACTTATTTATTCGTTTACTCGTACAATTACGATTATTATAATTTTGTGTCGGCCCTGCTTGAAGATGTAAAAACAATTTTTCCCATCGCTATTTTGTATCGAGTTAAGCTTTAAACGTAAGATCATGGATCTTCAAGCAGTGTACAAATTGTAGTTAATAGTATTTTGTACTTTAATACTCCCGTCGTTCGTTCAGCGATAATACAAAAAATGATATACGTATACTTAATATTATAGAATACATAAAAGCATTTTATGTGTATAGAAAATTCTTCGTAACCGTTTTTAAACCGTGCACGTTCTGTTATATTTAAATTAGAATCATTGTTTTACACGCATGAATATCAATGTACTTTTATTTTAGTTTAAAACAGTGTTACGTTGATGCACATTAATATATATATATATATGAATGTCGCCTTAGTGCTAGAAAGTTGTACAAAGCGATTGTAATTAGTTCTCCAGCTTGTTTTTATAATGATTTGCCATATATTTATTCCCAGCGCAATTCGATTCATACATTTTATTTTCACACGACTTTCCAGCATGCAGGCAGTAATATAAAAATTATTTAATACCCGTACGTATATTATAAAAGAATAAAAAATGAGAAGTACGCAATGAATTATAAATAATTTCTTTTAAAAAGAGAGTGCGTCAATCGGCGTGAGGGGCACCTGTAGTTCTAAGCGATCTTTTCTCTGATTCAAATCGGTGGCAGCTTGATGACTTTATTATTCAACACTGATCGTGTACTACTGTACGATCGTTTCGCTTTGATCACGTTGCTCCAGAACGGTCTCGGAGTGAAATGACCATTCTTTATAGTATTTCCAGCTGCCGCTATGTGACAATGATTAAATTACAAACGCTTTCAGGCGTAGTAAAATAGTTTAATTATCAAGTTACCTATTTTCCAAGATGGGAATATGTGCGATTGGCTATCACAGATCGTGGTTGATATCGCGACAGGCAATTTCGGACCCGAAGGTTGAAACATAGCTCTGGATATTGACTCCTTTAACGCTGCTGGTAAATTCAGCGATCCTATAAACCGAATCATTTTATTTAAACTGTAGTCATCGAACGAAGATCACCGATGACTACAATACTTGTAATATCTTGATCCAGCGTGCTCAACGACTTCCTCATGTGATAAAGATGTTTCTTCACTTTGAATCTTTTCATGAAACACCGGCATACGTCCGTTATTATTTTTCCATCGAGAGTATCTGCAGAGTGGTTCCACGTCGATTACAATGTGAGTACTCTAAAGAAAACGTTTTCAAGGCTGCGTACTTATTGTATCGTTATTCGCGATAAGATTCTCCTTGTATCTGTAATATCGTGTTACAGGATTTCCTTCTAGGGACAGGTCTGTTAAAGAGATCAGGACACTTATGCTATCGGTCAGATCGTCGATATCATCGATGGAATTATTCGTGGCATCTAAAACCTGCAGTTTTCGTAATCCCTTGATGCTGCTCAAGGATGTTACTTTGTCACCCGAGATGTTCAACACTTCTAAACAAGTCTGTTATCGGGAACTGCATTTGAGAACGGTGCGTTTAGGAAATAACGAGTCGAAACTTACGGACAACGTGAATACGCTTCGTGGATCGAAGCATAACATTTCTCCCGAAGGTAGCTTTTGATTTTCTATTTGTAAAACGGTCAAATTGTTTAAAAGTTCAAGACCCTCGACCACTGATATTTTATTGTACCCTAAATAAAGCGTTTGTAACTTCTCGAGAGAGTCTAAATTCTCTATTTTACTTATCGCGTTGTGCTGGAGATACAAATGCGTCAAATTCGATGCGAAGTGAAGATTCTCTATCTTCGAAATGTTGTTGTTTTGTAAATATATTACTTTTAAATTTTTGTAAGAGACGAAATTCCCCTGGAACAATGTAATTCTGTCTACGAATCGTTCGTAATTTGACGTAGTTATCCGCAGAGGATCACTTACGATACTGCTGATGAACATATTATTCATCCGTAAGTGAGTCAGTCCGTATAGTTGGCCCTTGCTCATTCTCTTGCTAAGAGACTTTTGTAATTGAGCTTGAGAACATTTTCTTTCAATGTATTCGGCAGTTAATCTCACCATGATCACAGAATTTGATTGAACACGGGGTAAACTAAGCGGTACGCATGTGATTGATCAAACATTTTCCAGGCAAGCGCACGTTTTATACGCGTTGCCTACAGAGCTGTTGTCTCTGATTCGAAGGCTCGTGCTCGTGACTGAATATCTCGACTTCTGGAAAAGCAATTTTAACATACTATAATCCAAATTGAAGCTGCAAATTCAGAGAATAAGCTCCTATTATCCCATGTTATCCCATTCCACGCTATCATCGTCAATTAACGAGTAATTGAAAAGAAAAAACTTTATCGCTTATTCTTAATCGATTAACTTTAAAGACGTGCGCAGAGGATCTATTCAGGTGTCTCTCAAGTTTCTACTGTTTGGAATTGTATGAAACTTGAGAGACATTCAAGAATGATTCATTTAGGGATGTATTGGCTATACAGTCAATCCCAAAATTGTATGTACCTTAGAAAAACGCATTTCCTATAATAAAAAAGAAATCAGACGTCGGAAGAACAATGCTAATAATAAATACCTACGTGCTAAAAAGTATAGAAGGAAATATCCATTTAATTATTGACGATAGTGAAAAGTTTATTATACTGAAGTTGTAGGCACTGATGTCCTCTACAAGAAAGATTGCATGAATTTTTCTTCTAACTTGAGTATTTAACGAGTTAAGTATGATTATTTGGCATTTTATTCATGTTGACAAAATCCGACCATCCCAGCGTCGAAACGGCGAACTTTTGGAAAAAAATTTCGTTTTTCCTCAATAACTCCCAAACCGCTGGACTTACAGAAAAATTGTATCAGACCTTTCTTGTAGAGGACGACGAGAGCTACAATTTCTGGGTAAAAAGAATTGGCTAGCATTAATAGTTTACGAGTTATTGACGAAAAACAAAAAAACAGTTTTTTGCAAATTACTCGTTAACTATTGACGCTAGCGAAAAATTTCTACATGGAAATTGTAGATCTCGTCGTCCTCTACAAGAAAGGTCTGATACAATTTTTCTGTAAGTCCAGCGGTTTGGGAGTTATTGGCAAAAAACGAAAATTTCGCAAAATCTGAAGGGGTACCCCTTGGAAAAATCTCGAAAAAATTGAAAAAATTTTTTTTTTCGCGTAATATCGAAAAATGCTTCAAATAAAAGTTGTTTTTCTTCTAACTTCGATATTTAACGTGTTAAATACGATTAATTGGCATTTATGGTCTGCTCTGTTACTGTGAGTATGGTACACTAGGACCGTTTCCAATGAACGTGGTTCTACAAAGTTCGAAAGCTAGAAGGCGAGTTTCTTTGCGACCGGATGATATTTCAACGTAAACTATCTACAAATAAAAATGTGTATAGCAGTGATAAATAACAATTGTTCTATTGTATTTTCGACACGATTCTAGACGAAGTGAATGAATCTTGTTGTCTCAATAAGACAAGGAAAGAATAAACATTTATTTATTTAACTTCTGAAACAGCTACTATGCCTTGTTTGTGATACAAATTATTTAGCTATTACATGGTTGAATTTTGCTTCGATTAGCAATGCTATGTCATTATTTGAAATGATTAAACAGAATGAATTGATGACGGTTTGCTCCATTGGCGTTGAATATCATTGAATATTGAGATGACTGTCGTTGATAACAGACTATCGCAGCAATTACCATTCTTCAATTCAACGTGTATAAAATTTAGTATGTAGCAATGTCGTGAGATGTCAGAATGTCGCTGATTGTTTCGCACGTGTTACGTTGCCACGGTTTAAATAAGCTTACTAGCTCGATCAGATTAGTAGCGACAGGTACCCTACATAAATCACGATCGTGTCTTGTGTCACAAGAATCTACCAGAAATATGTCGTATACAACCGTTGAAAGAGGAACATTAAACAACACTGATTACAGACTTTATTTCAGTAAGTAATCAATCACCTAACCTTAACTTTAATAGGATTTTCCCGAAGGTCAAACCAGAATGTCGGCTTTATTAAAATTGCAGAATGTGCGAAATATTCGTAGCGGATTTCCTCTACTTTCGATGATGTGTTAATACAATTCAAAGATCGAACTCATTTATTTTTGTTAACTGATTCATGCATGAGCGTGACGCTGACGATGCCTATATAACATTTTATTTTTTTTATTTTCATGTATGAAAAGTTCCAAAGTCCTTCGAAGTTACTACGATTTCTAGTTGATCATTTTTATTCAATTAAGAATAGGTTTAGTACGTAGCATGACATTCGACTTATACAAAACGATTTGAACGAATAAATAATTTTGAACAACGACATACGATGTGTGATCATAATTCGTTCCAATCAATCGTTTATCTATTTATCGTTTCAATTGTAAAGCTTCGCCAATTTATCTTTGCTGGTCATATCGAATAGCTATTAATCAATTTTCTAAGAAGATTGATTAAATTTTATTTCGACGTCAGTTATAAATTTTTTATATTTCCTATATACCATTTGTATTATAGAAAATGAAGATGGCCCAATATCGCCCATGCATGACATTCCACTTTATGCAGATGAAGCTAATAAAATAGTAAATATGGTAGTTGAAATACCAAGATGGACAAATGCAAAGATGGAGATTAATCTTAAAGAAGCATTGAATCCTATTAAACAAGATGTTAAAAAGGGCAAAGTGAGATTTGTGGCTAATTGCTTTCCCCATCATGGATACATATGGAATTATGGTGCTCTGCCACAGGTATATTACAATACCAATTAAAGCACAAAACAATTGGTAATTATCTGATGATGCAATTCTTCCTTGATGGCATTGTCTACTTGGCTTAAAGAATGATATCATCAATTTCATTGGCATTAGTTCATTGAAGAAAATGAGTGATTGCATGATGCATACACATGCATAGCTTGCTGTGTATGAACGCTGTCTTATCAGCCTTATGTAGACTCTTGTATTCTTTAGTTCAAGGGCATCTGTATATTTGCCAGTTACGATTATCTTGCAATACTCAATGTTCTACTTATTTACTTCCTCTTCCCAATTTGATTACTTAATCCGAGCTTTGTTCTATATAAATTTAACAAAGTATTCTTTTACATGTTACTTTTTTTGTAATAGACATGGGAAAATCCGGAAGTACTGGATGAAGCTACTGGGTGCAAAGGAGATAATGATCCCATTGATGTCCTTGAAATAGGATATAGAGTAAGAAATTTTGTATTACGAGCAATGTGACCTCGCATATTAATTTATATACAATGATTCATTAGGTAGCAAAGAGGGGAGAAGTTCTAAAGGTGAAAATCTTAGGCTGTGTTGCACTCATCGATGAAGGTAGGTGAGATCAAATGAACAGTTAAGAAGTGTTTCCACATGTATTTTGTTGTTTCAGGGGAAACTGATTGGAAGATTATCGTTATTGATGTCAATGATCCCTTGGCAGATCAAATGAATGGTAGTTTTATCTTCTGTCTACCTGTCTTATTCGTTTATTAATTAATTTCAAATTGTGTGAATTATGTTATAGATGTATCTGACGTTGATAAGCACTATCCAGGATTAATGAAAGCCACTATTGAATGGTTTAAGATTTACAAAATACCAGATGGTAAGCCGGAAAATCAATTTGCGTTTAATGGGGATGCGAAACCGAGAGATTTCGCTTTACGCATAGTGGAAGAAGTGAACCAGCACTGGCAGAATCTCATCAAACGAGACGCTCCCGCAGGAGGAATATCATGGTTTGTATGTTTATTTGAGAAAGAGACAAATGATGTTCGGGTATGGTTTAACAAAAATATTGTTTGCAGTGCTAATACAACTATAGCGGATAGTCCGTACAAAATTAATGTAGAAGCTGCTGAAGAAGTAATAAATAAAACACCCGAACCGCTGAACGCCTTAGAATTGGATCCAATTGGTAAGTTACGAACGTTCGATGTTAATTTTAGTTATCGAATGAAAATATATTTTAGTGATTGTTTGCAGTTGATAAATGTTACTTCGTAGAAATATTGCAAGATAAGTTATAAATTCAAGATACTAATCTATGATGTTCTCTGGAAAGTTCCTGTGATTGTATTTTCTAACATTCTTTAAACATTAAATAATTGCTATTAAAATATTCTGGTTTCAGTTGATAAATGGCATTACGTGCATCTTAAGTGAAACTAAGGGGATATATTCACATCGATACATCTATTGATATCTGCACACGCTTGCTTGTTTCGAGGCACATAAAAGACAGAATTATTTCCACAATTTACACACTTCATCATAAGTTTTGATAGGATCAAAACTCGCAGGCAGTGTTTCTGTAATAAAATTAGTGTCTCCTTGCAGAAGCGAAACAAGCATCTACGCACAGTAGATGTATATCTCAATGCTCTTATTTATTTTAATATATTTGCAATTTAATGGGAAAGTGTGTATAAAATTTTGTAACCAGAGGAAGTATTCTCATTACTGTATCGTACATAATATGTACAACGGTCGAAATGGGCACTAAGGAGGTAGATGTACTCCTTTTATTGGTTGTGATGCAACTTTCCATAAACATTCAGGAATAGGGTATCTTAGACGAATAAGATTATTTTTTCTGTAATTTGCTACACTACAAATATGCAATAGAGTACGTAAACGTCTATTATTTTTCCTGTTACTATTCTCAATACATATCCTATACATCCACTATACCCTGAAATTTAATTTTAAAGGAAAGGTAGTTTATACTTTGTGGTTCCGTCGAACGCACGTGCTTAACTACTACATTCCGTAGGAAGTAGTCTCCGAGGAGACATTCGTGTCTGTTACGTAGCGTACTTAAACGTACGAGCAACGGGGCAAATATATCGTGCTGCAGGACACTCGCCTAAGCCAGATCGGAAAGACGAATTAGCCCTTTGGTACGATAAATTCCCAATGAGATATAATATAAAATAAAAAAAAGTAAACTGACGACCGAAACGAAAAATAATTTATAACAGTCGCACGTGGAATGTTCTCCACAGCTTGTCCTGTGCAACAATTATCATTGCTATTGAACGTGCATAAAATCGCGGTAACGTTTCCTCGTTTGTTTCTTCCGGTGATGTGATCTATTTTGTAGAGGAAGTGTGGGACATTGTCTTCTTAGTTTCCACTCCCACGGGAAGTGCAGGGAAGTGTTCTACCCGAGGAAAATAGCTCAGGAGAGGGTAGGTTGGTTAAGATGCAGTGCACGTAAGGTGCGTGGTAAGGAAATAAGAAATTATTACGTTAACTTCCTACTCGAACTACAAATCTCAAAGGAGTCGAAGAAAATTCATAGCAATCTTAGTCTTATCATTTTTGTAATCGATTTTTACCGTTCTTCCTTACGATTTATGTTCAATGTACCATTAATTATCGTTAATGCTCAGATACATTTTTAAATTGTTCGTAACAACCTTTTTAGCTGAATAAAGGGACGGTGAGATTTATTCTTACGCTAGTTGGGTCATTTATATTATACTATAAACTCTGTGAATTCAGGGTACGAAAACGGGATTCTCCAAATTCTTCTGCGCTTTGTTGGAATTCCAGGATAAAATTCCGGAAATTTTCAGTTAATCGTACGTTATTTATTTAATTAGTTATCTTTCTCTTTCAGGCAACTAAAATGTTTTGATGTATCTAGGCGCGCGCAATGATGCGACACATGTCATTAGCGAAATTTATAATCAGTTATTAATGTCAATTGTGCGATCTACCTAACGTAACGGTAAAGTGAATTTGAAAAGGAGGTATAGACAAGAAGAAAAGAATTTCGCTCAAGCTTGTTTCGTCCTCCGGTGGTGAGTGCCGAGAGATTGGATTCCTTGCCGGTGCCGAATTCCCCGCGGTCTTTTTCCTCCCGTCAACTCATTGGTAACACCGGCTGGGTGAACCGAGAGCAGGTGGAGGTATTGACTGGCGCAATGTACCACACCACGCGCTCGCGCGAATCTTGGTATCAGAGGCTCGTCGTACTCGTAGTCGTATTCGTAGCCAGAAGAAGAAAAAGAGAGGCAAAATAAGAGGGAGCGTGTGAAGCAGAGAAACGAGAGAGAGAGAAAGAGAGAGCAAGAGAGATAAGGTTAGGCAGGTTTACATAGAAAGCCGCCCGCAACCCCCACCGCCCCGATGTTTGCCGATGTTCGCCGGATTCCGACCAATGAGGGGGCACGCGTTCGTAGTAGTGCGGCGTCGCTTCGACTCGGCTCGCGTCGTCACAACTCGTTCGACCGCCGTGCTGACCGCTTTCGTCTCGTCTTCGAACGGGAGTACAAACGTGTCGGAGTTTACTTTTACGCGCGCGCCCTTTTTTCTCGCCGTCCGTCGTAGTTCCGTGAGTCCTTTGTCCGTGCAGTTGTCAAATCGGGTCGCACGGTGCACGTGCTTACGGGAATCCGCGGATCACCGCGTTTCATTTCGCGTTAGTTCACGGTGAACGGTGTTCCACCTGCGGCTACAACTACCATGCGATTTTCGTGGGTGTTCGTGGCCACGGTGCTCCTGGTTCTAGTCGCCGGGGCGAGGTGCAAGAGAAAATTCGATGGGGATTTCGAATTTGCCGAAGAGGTGAGTCTTCTTTCCATTCTTTATTTATTTATTAAGTGTCAACTGTACCGTGTGTATGTGGTCGCAATCGCCATCCGATGTCAAACACCATCGATTCTGTTTTGTTCGAACCAGCGAGTTCCACTCTGACAGATGCATTAATTAAATGCCCGGTAATAAAAAGAATCAAACCTTTTCAATTCTTTCACGTAATGATACAGAACCACAGTCGTGAATTCGTTTCTTTCAGCACATATGTACGCATTGCGTGCTTCTCGTCCGGCATTGCGTTTTAATCGACAGAATCGAATTGGTCGATTGTCATATGAAAATCGAAGCGGTAAACTAACGATCAAACATAGAGTAGTATTCTATAAACTTTATGAATGAAGTGCAATATATTTTCAATCTCCGAGTATAAACACCCGTGAAAATACAACGGATAGTGAAAGGGTCACGGGGTGCAACAATAAGTTGTTTTCGGTTTAATTTCGAATCGTAGAAACGCTCGAGCTACGGCGGTAATCAAATGTTTTGAACAGTGATCGTCTGATTTGCTCATAAACGAGCACTTTACAAACGATTCGCCAATAGTATTAAGTAGTTGGATAACACGCAATGCGGGCGCTTTTACTTTCGCGTAACAGGCTCGGTGGTTTAATCTTATACAACTTACATCGATGCGATTGTTTATTTGTTTCTACTACGCTTTCCTTTTTACGCGTTCGATTCTGTTCAGCTTAAGGGCAAACACGGTGATACGTGAAGTAATTACGATGCACGTACCCGCGTAAGTACGGATCAGCACGTAAATACATCTCACTCCACTTCGCATCACATTCCTTGCGTGTACTACATGTAAATACGTCCTTTGAATTCGTACAGATGCATTTTCAACCAAGTATTCACATTCTCGACTACAATAGAGAGAACGCGACGAATTCTTTTCAGGATAAAAAATACCTGAGGTAAAGAGTTGAAGGCGTAATCGCGCACGATTATTTATACCGTATAAGGTCAAACGTAATACGTATTCATACATAATGCATGAAACTATTATTTGTCTTTGCCCTTGAGTATCACCCACGTATCGTGGAATATTCTGCGCAAAGTATATATGTAATCTATCGAAACCTACGCTTGTCCTTTAATTAATGTTATTTAACGTATGCATTCGACACGAGGTGCCGATACCGTGTATAGCACAGACCCACAAACATTTCATTTGGAAATTTTCACGACTGGTCTCTAAATTTCGCTAGAGGAACATCGTTTTCTCATTGTTGTGAAACAGTTTTAGACTATTGTTGCTGACACCTGTCTTCGAACAGAACGTTCCTGAGTCTATGCTAGACGTTAGAATAGTTGAAACCGCGTACTTTAAATTTATGAAGCAAACGTTTCGAACGACGTTGCCCCAATTTTGGTATAACGTTATGACTCTATGCGCCTCTGCGCCGCTGCTGTATGCACCACCATCGACACTTGACCTTCTTATCTTCTTCTCCTTTATCCGAATCCGCATTGCCATTTTTCGAGCCGCGAGTGGAGAAACAGTTTCCTTTCGTGGGAAACCGTTCAACCGTTTACCAATAACTCGCTTTCGCGATAATTGCGTTTCTTTCTCCTGTTGTTTATTTCGCCTCGCGAGAGCCCTAAGTTTTTGTTCGTGGGAACGCAGCAGGATGTTGTGTAGAGATTGTTCGGATTAGGTACGATGGTTTTTATCGGGTGTGCAAGGTAAAATTGCTTGACCGGTGTTGCTTACAAATCTCGATTATTTACACCCTCTGCGTATATGCGCTGTCCTCTTATTTGATTTGCTTATTCAACTTGCGTGTCACACTCGTTAGTCTACTGAAATAGTCGTAATATTTCTTTGATAATTATTGTATCTACGCGAAGGGATGTTTACAATTCAGCTAATTATGTTGATACAGATTGGGCTTCTGTTTATTCATATAATATTGCACCGGGTGAATTACTCTTGATAAAGATCTCCAATTACTACCCTTTGCTTTACGTTGGCATTTGCTTTCGAGCTTACGGCAGCGTATTTGTTCGACCGATTTTTCCTCCCGCTCTTCTCTCTTTTTTTTTTTTCATCCAGCCAATTTGTATAAATTAACCCTCGATGTTTTTGCACGATCAATCCTCGATCGTAATTTCTGCACACGACCGTTTGTTTGCTGTCTCGCTACGAAAGGGGGTGAACGCACGGCTCGTGTTTTTTCGCGCGCTCTTTTATCGATCGCCTCGCAGTTTTAACGCCGTTAATCGAAACCATGGCCAATGCGCATTGAAGCCGATCGCAAACTAAAAATTATTAATCCTGTTCTATATTTTTTACTGTTTGTCCAATCATTTCAAATTCATCATTGTTTCATTGATCGAGGTCGAATCAAGCCTCGAACTGCGTCATACGTTTGTCTTCACTTATTTAACTGCGTAAACATTCGGCTGGTTACGAAGTGCCCTTTCGTCTCTGGGGCTTGAATTTTCCATACTTTTGCTCGTCATGAAGTAACGCAGTGCATGTAGGATAAGGAAATAGTCATTCAGGAAGATGTGAAAGTAATTAACGAATTATTTGAACGAATTATACTTCCTGTAGTGACGAAATAAAATATATAATCGCAACGTTGTCGTGGAGAAAATCGATTCAAAGAACGAAGGAAACTCGGGAACGAAGAACGACGTAATTTTAATAGTCGTATAACAACATTTGCCTTACTGATTTTCTGTTTGTTTGCGGTGACGGTGTCTCTAGTTATAGAAATAAGCGAGACGCCTTCCATCGCGTCGCCTCCGAGAGAAAATCGATTATCCCGTGGCGTAATGGAAAAGAATTCCTCGTATCGATCGGCGACGGATAGAGGGAATACCGTGTGACCTAGTGGCGCGAAGGTAAACGAGCGTACCGGTTGCACCCGCTCTTTTTCACGACCTATTGTTTCTCATAAATTACTACTTGCCCCCGTAGCGATAGTGATTCCTCTCGTTCCGTTCGTTCATAGTTTATGACACGACAACGTCACCGTCACGAGAACGTAATAGTAATAATAGATATCGAATGCTGCATATTTT